AAAAAATATATTTGTATTTATATCCAAAATCAAATCACAAATATAGAAAATTGATGAAAGAATTTAAGCATTGATTTATAGTGGGGGTGAGAGGTGGTGGGCGACAGTAGTAATGGTAGGAGACGGTGATGGTTGTGGTGGGTAACAATGACCGTAGTGGCGGCGAGGATGGTGGTGGTAGTGGCGGTGGCGACAATGGTGGTGGTTGTGGCGATGGTGGCGGTGACGACGACGACGACGGTGGTGGTGGCGGCAGCGGTGAGGGTGGTGGTGATAGAGATAGTGGTGGAGCAGTTTCAAACATTATTTTTTTTTTAAATATTTATGAAAAATAATTTTTAAAAGTAATTTTAAAAAATGACTCCAAACACACCCTTAAGGTCTATTTTTTCTATTAAATTTAGGATATTAATATTAACCATTAGATTAACTTTAAAATAAAATTTAAAGCGATCTTAACCGCAAATAACAAAAAACATTTGATTTATCTTTTGAAATTTAAATTATAAACTATCTATATAATAAAGTTGAGTTGAGTTTGAATCTAGAGACAAATAGAGGTCCAGATCATTTTGAGACAAAATATAAACATATCCAACGGACAACGTAATTCCAACATAAAAAGCGGTTCAGATCATCTCATAAATGTTGATCTGACGGTTATAATTGAACTTAACTCTAATAATTCTATCTCTCATATAACTCTCTCTCTCTTTATATCTTGGATGTTTTAAATACACTATATCATCTCCTTTTTCTCTCTCTATATCTATATAATAAAGTAGATAGATTATTTATCTTTAACTTTTTGCGGCTAGATCGTTTTGATCTGATGGTCCTAATTAGACTTTCATTTTTTTTACAAGTCTAAATCTCTCATATAATTCTTTTTATCTGTCTATCTATCTTACACACTCTCTCTCATAATATTATCTTTTTTTTTTCTCGTGTTGTTTTTACTATTATTTACTCCATAAACCATATGAAACTACATGTCATCAAATTATTTATTCCTTGAAACCAATTCAAAATTTTTATATATCTGACTGTATGTATTTTGTCACTTACTTTTTAATTTGTAAATAATACTGAATGTAAATAAAAAATAGCACATTAACTATAAACACCAAAAATATTTAACATAAAATGAACCTTAAATGGTAAATTAATATATATTTTTATCAAAAATTGACACTTAATTTTCTCTAATTTATATTCAACTTTATCGAATATCAAATTAATATTAAAATTTATTTAATTAATTTTTTAGAGTATTAAATTATATCAATTTTTTGAGTACTAAATCAAATTTTATTTTATTAAATTTTTAATTTTTTTGGTACTAAATTTGGAGAATGACAAATGTAAAAATAATAAAAATTTTATGATAAAATTATCAATTTTTGTTTGCAACATTGACGAAAGAGAGACAAAAGGGGTCTCCATGCAATGAATAACAAACCTTAGGGGTCTCCGTATTATTTATAAAATATTATGAGGTGTTCGTGTAATATTTCCAAAACTCAGGGAATATCATGATTTTTAGTTTTTTTTCCCTATTTTTTAATTAAACGTTAATATATTATTATTTTACCTTAAAAACTTAAATTATTGTATTTCTAATAAAAACAATTATTGGTTATAAGGGTTTACTAGTAACCAAAAAAGAAATGTGTGAGTGTATTTTTGTGTATATTTACATGTGGAGGATTCAACATTTAGTGATTAAATTTATAATTATATTTGTGTCATTTGGGGTTGAATGGTGATAGTGATAATAAATTCATGAGTTTATAAATGAGCAAAATTTGGTTGATTTTATTTACCATTTAAAAATTGTGAATTTAATTGTATTTTGTGAATATATATATTTTGTTTGAGGTATTTATTACATAGATATAGGGTGGATTAAAAATATGGTAGTTGAGTTGATAATTATTTTGTGTTATTGGATGAAGTGGTAGTAGAGGTGATAATTCGTGAGTCTTATAAATGAGCAAGATTTTATTTATTTAATTTATTGCTTAAAGATTGTGAATTTGAATTGATTATGTTAGTATTTTTTTTTCATAAGCATTTATATATATAGTGTTATTTTAGAGAGTTTTTATATATTTTTATGATAGTTCTATTAATATGAAGGATATAATCGATAATATATTTTGAGTCATTTTAAAAGAAGAATTTATATGAATATTTTTAGGTAATTTTTTTTGAATTTGGATAATTATTTTAAAATTTTTTGTTTATTATATAGTGTTTGCAGGTATAGATAATGACTAGTATATATATACGGTAGTTTGCACTTTTGCCGAAAACGGCACCTACCGCCCAAATGGTATCTTCTGCCGAACACTGCAAAAGCAGGACGTCACCCCCTCACGCATCGGGATCTGCGTAGTCCAAATTTGAGAAGACAGTTCAATGAAATTTGTTCAAAGAAATTAGGGGCGCTTAAATTTAGGATTACCAAATATTTCGATTCTATCCAATTCTATTGCACCCTATTAATCAATTATAATTAAAAAGTTTAGTAGAACAACTGAAGAAATTTTAATTTTTTGTAAAAATTGAGTAAGAATACTCAAAAAAAATTTGTCTTTCTCCTCGGCCCTAACCATGTGTGTGTCAACATTTTTTACATTGTTAATGTGTGCAAAAACTACAAACTGAAATACTGTTAATCTGTTAAAATTTAAACGTTTTAACATTATTGTGTTAATTAATTGGACGGAATTCGGGTAAAAATAATCAACTTGATTAATTTTTTAACGTTTTATCACTATTGTGTTAAGTAACTCAGCTTTTTTGCTCAATTGTTTTAGACGGAATTCGGATAAAAATAATTCACTTGATTAGGCAAGATAGGCCAAGAAATTTTTTTTTACAAAGTATCGGGTAGGAAGATGAAATATCATCCTACAAGTAAGATAGAGTACACACCTCTAAAAGAAAATCATTTTCTGATCATCAACAGAATTTCCCACATCCAGGTAAAGTTTGTTCTTCAATATGGTGTTAATCTACTACGAAATTTGATGTATCTCAACTAAAAGTTTTGAGCAAATCATCAAAATATGTAAGGGGAATTTGAGAGAAAATCAGAATAGTGATTGATCTCATTGTTAGTTATCAAATTTTTTGAACTTCAGATTGTAAAGTTAGGCTCAGGTATTCCAAAGTCTTGTTTCGTGCACTAATGATGTTCGATGTTATGCCTGTATTGAGATTGGACTCAAATTAAAAGGATTAAACATTCATACATAAAACAATATAGGAAAATAGAATTGGTGTATGAAGGGTAATTGACACCTTGGGATAAGCAGTGGGTTGCTAATGATGATAATAAGAACTAAGAAAATATGTTCAAAAAGGAAAAAGCCTTGCCCTTGGCACGGCACATGTTCTGCCATCAATGCCCCGTCGGTGGGCAGCCATAGATGTTTATGCTTTTGAAACTCATTGAACTGCATACACAATTTAAATGATCTGAATAAAAGTATATGAATGCATGCTTGAAGATGTTTAATAATATTCAAGAAGAGAGAGAAACCAAATGGGGTAATAATATTAAGCTGTTGAGATCAAAAACCTTTGTCCAAAGTAAATATTTTGCATGTAGTAATCACAGTTCAAGACAATTAAGATGATAGAAAGTATCTGAATGGAGGTTGTAGGTACTACTAGGCCATTAAGAAATGCTTATTTGTGAATAATATTTCCAAGGATGCACAAATCAAAAGTAGTGTAGACTGTGGAAAGGACTTCTACAAACAAACATGGCCTTTTTTGTGGAAAGAGGTTTTTTTTTTCAACGGTTACGAGTATTTAAGTCAATTTATGCGCATTTTTATTAGTTTTCTCTCTGGCCTAGTCAAATGCAGGTTATCCACGCTGAGATTAGGAGATTCATCAGAGATAAATCTTTTATAGTCTGACCTAATAAATTATTAAGATTAGAATTTAGGATGTCGAAATTTGCAACACGTCTTTATTACCAATGAAATTATCATTCAAGTTGTGAAAAGAGGGTTTTGTACATGGCGTTTTTTTCACTCGTCTTTTATGGTGTTATGATGTGCTAGTATTTTGGCGTTGAGTGTTGGTGTGTGCCTTGGTAAGCAGTGTGCTGAAGAGAATACAAGTCTAGTAGTAGATGAAACGAGAAATTGTGAGTGTTACTACACTTCATACTACCAAAAAACAATATGGTGTAGTGACTATACTGTAATGGGCAAAGTTTATCTTGTGATTCGTGTGTGCGATGAACAATCAAAAAAATAAGAAGAACACAAAAAATTATGTGATTTGATAACTTGTCTATATCCAAGACTCTAGAGCGACCGTTTTTTTTTTTTTTATTTTACATTGAATTAAAATTACAACTTAACTTATATGTTACAACTCTAATTAGGCATCCCAAAGACGTGTGTTATTCCATACCATGGGAGTTACGCCCCCCGCACCCCCCGGCCTATCTTCAATCAATAGTAATTTGAATTTGTTAGATGATTAATTATTTTCTCTTACGTTCTCACAATTGGCTCATTATCTCCTTGAATTTAGTAACTCTCCATATTCTGAATATGAATCACATATCCCAAAAGTTTGCATGTTACATTTCCCTCTTTATCAACTCATAGACTCATAGTTATGCTTTATTAATTTCTATTTACTATTTTGCCACATTCCTATGAATATATAGATAAATTCTTTGTAAGCATAATTTACGGCTAGGAAAGTGTAATATTATTTTGACGTAATTTATTAACCGTCTTTCGATTGTGTGCGCCTTTCGGTGAAGGGATGCTTGTCACCTACTCCTCTTTAAGTTCCCACTCCCTATATGGTACTTCTTCGAGGTTATATAGAGAAACCGAGACAAAGTCTCTGTCTGTTTTTGTGTGGAGAGAGAGAGAGAGAGAGAGAGAGAGAGAGAGAGAGAGAGAGAGAGAAACTCAAAAGCTTTGATCTTAGCTTGTTTTGTTGTGTGGTGAGCCATGGATAGACACAGGTGTAAGCTCTGTTCTAAGAGTTTCACTAGTGGTAAAGCTTTGGGTGGTCACAAGAGGACTCATCTTGCCACCTTACCAATTCCTCCCAAGAAGCTACCACCACCACAACTCGGTGACAGTAGTGAGTCAACTTCATCTCCATCTTCTTCTTCTTCAGAATATAAAGAAGAAGATGAGAGAGAAAGTGAAGAAAAAGTGTTGGTTTATGTGTTAAGAGAAAACCCAAAGAAGAGCTTCAGGGTGGTAGATCCTGAGTTCTTGGATGGATGGGTTATACAAGACAAAAAAAGTGAGACCGAGTCAAAAAGAAACCCAACTCGGAGGAGATACAAGTGGACTCAGAGAATGGGTGTTGCAGAAGCAGAGAATCAAGAACTGAAGAAGCCAAAGATAAGAAAACACACTTCAACCGAGTCAATAACGGAGTTAGAACCAGCGAGTTCAATTTCTGAAACGTCCCCTGAAGAAGATGTTGCTTTGTGTCTCATGATGCTTTCAAGAGATGTTTGGAATTCTGATGATTCAGAGACAGAGGAGTTGGAACTGAGTCACAGGACGAGTCAGAGGAAGATCAAGAACTGCTTTGAAGACCATGAAGCTGGTGAGACATCAGAACAACCAGTAATTATTATTGGTTCTAAGAATGTGGGTAAGAAACTGCATGAATGCCCATTCTGTGGCAAAGTATTTGGGTCGGGTCAAGCTCTTGGTGGGCACAAAAGATCACACTTTTTGGGTTCATCACCAACTGCTTCAATCTCTGCTAAACTTGGTGAGAGTTTGGCAGATGCAAAGTCTGCTAAATTTGGGCATGGTTTGATAGATCTTAACTTGCCACCTTCAATGGAAGATGATGAAGACTTTTGCCAAGCTAGAGGTCTCTACTGTCTCTGATGCTGAATTTATCAATTCCATCAAACATTGAGGATATGGCTTAGGCGTATTACTAAGCTTTCATTTGGGTTTTACGGGTTTAAGTTGCGAAAACACGCTATTGGCATGTGAGCGAAGATAATATACATTCGTTTCTCCTCAAACCTATTGTAAGGGGAATTTCGTGCACTGTAATTTATCTAAATGTGCCACCATTCTAGACAAGATTGAATTGATAGGTTAGACTTGAGGTTGTTACTTTTTCTTCCAACTAATTCCTGGCAGTTATTAAAGAGCTACAATAGGTTGTTTAGAGCAGTGTCTTGAAAGGGGTGTCTTGCATTTATAGGATTTCTGTAAATTTTTTGGAAAGATCAATGCCAAGCAGCTTTTGTGATTTTCTTTCTTTCACTGGCGGTTGCAACGACGCATGGTTTCAATTCCGGTATAAATAACTTATCTTTGATCGAATTAAGAGAAAATTAGTCGAGAAACATATATGTTAACTTAGACACCCTTAAATCTTAAAAAAGAAAAAAGAAAAAAAAAAGGGTCCTAAAAAGGTCGGTATATATGCTGTTAGCTGCTCTAATAGCTGATACATTGGGGCACACCTACTTAGTGTAGGTAACAGATGAGAAGAACAGTTCACTTTCTTTTGCACTCCTTTGTCCTTTTGTAACCCCAGTACCAAAGTGTTGAATTCTATCAGCTAGTTTAGTATCTGTTTTCCAGCTGTTTGTTCTTTATGATCTGTTATCTGTTTCTTTTCTTTTTAAAAAGCTCCTACTAAATTCAAATCTCTTGTTCTTTCAGGATTGCCATTGTGGTTTTGTCTGGTTAAGTATGTAGAGTTAAATTGTCAAATTATGGTATATACTAAGGGTAACTCGTGTCTGAATGTACGGTACGACATAAGTGAGAAATAATAAATTTGGGAGAGGAAATTCGATGTGAATAATTTTAATAGAGATATTGGTGGTCTTTTGATGAGTCTATTTGAAATCATTAAATGAACTTATTGATATTAGCGGTAACTCGTGTTTGAAGGCATAGTACAACGTAAGTGAGAAATAATGAATTTTGAAAAATAAATATTCAATATACATGATTTTAAAAGGGACGTTGGTGGTCGTTTAATGAGTCTATTTGAAATCATCAAATGAACTTAAAGTTTGTCTTATTTTATAATATTATATATATATATATATATATATATATATATATATATATATATATATATATATATATATATATATACACACGTGGCCGGCCAGACAGAGAATCATCGGGAGGAAAGAAACAAAGACCCTTAAACATCGGTATAAAGGAATGGTTCAAAAGAAAAGGTTCATGATCCCCCCATGCTTTTGTATTCAAAGTTTTTGGAACAATCATCACCGACGACCACCGAGAGGTTGGTCCAGGTAAAAATTCAAATTATTTTGTTTAATTTTTGAGTTCAAGTCTTTATACTTACAACAGTTCGATAGCGTTAAACTCATTTCTTTTATAACCAAACCACATGGTGAAATTTTAACTTGGACACCGACCAAGGTGCTGAGAGAGTTTCCTATAAATAACTGCGTGTTACTGAAAAACAATGTTCTCGCAAATAAGTGGAGTGACTTATTTCTATACTCATTTTATGTAAAAAAAATTCATCACCATTGTAATGTCTCTTTTATATTCTCTCTTTGCTATCAGTTAACCAATACTAAAATTAAACTAGATAATTATTAAATTACGTAGTTATTGCCCTCTAAAAATTGTAGTATTATAATTTCGTGTGTTCACTCATCCAATAAAAAGGAGACTAACTCTTTCTTTTGGATTACAGAGAATTAACAATGACGAACTGTAAGTTTAGACGTTTTAAGTTTAATTTTGATCATGTGTTGGGGTTAGATTATGAGAGATTTATCCTTCATAATACTCTAATTTTAATGTGAATGTCATACATTTAACCTGACCAGGATAAAGGAGCTTGTAAGCTAAACCAACACACTTTGAATAAAAAAAAAAAAGGATAACAGAGAATTAAGTGAACCTTTTTACTCTCAACAACTATAACGTCAAACGTAGTGTATTGCTGAAGTCTTTCACCCAAATTATTCCGGAGTTCAATGAAGTAATTTTAATTTGTCAAGCCAAACATAGATTTGTTATTCTTAGCAATCAATAGAATAATTGAAGAATTGTGACATGGTATTATCTATGATAATCAAGAGATTAGAGTTTAAGTGTTATTTTGAAATTCCATCTATTCACATTCACTATAGTAATGTTTCACATAAATAAGATAGCCTATTTCCTCAGCTTCCCACCTTCTATACAAATAGTGAGGTTAACCTACCATCTTGCCTTTGTCCCATCTATGAAATTAGAGAGAAAAATGCCAAGGGACCAGCCATATCTAGCTTGGCCTATTACCCTAGGCACATGGACCACGAAGGATAGACATACAACACCATTATGTGAAAGTAATATAGGGTTTAAAATTTACTTTCACCTAAGTTTTACCCGATTATCAATAAATAATTTTATTTAAATTATGATTCAATTTGATCAAACTACAAATTAACTCAATAGGAATGGTTTTGGGAAGCAAAATATTTTATTAAAACCCATCATTTAATTAGAAAAGTTCTTTTTGTTGATTGAATAGATAACTAAACATATACAAAAGATTTAACACTTATCTTGTGACATATTCACACAATTTAATTATGGTATTGATTTAATTAAGGTATCTAAACGACAACAATATATCTTGGTAATCCCAAAAAATAAAACGGTGATGATCGATGGATATAGGAATGGAGAGATGACGGATGGTGACGATGGATACCAACGGTGGAAGATACATTTAAGCAGTGGAGTCTTGCACAGAAAAGGGGGGAGGAGGGGGAGAAATGGGGTGGTCGACGATATTGCTGCCATTAGTGTTTTCAAGCTATTTTGGGTGAGGGTGTTTTCTAATATTAGGGTTATTGATAGTGAGGACAATATATATATATCTATATATATATATATATAGAATATTTTATTTCTCATTTATGCCCAATTTTTTGAAAATGTAATGACAAAATTTTCTGTAATTACCCTCATGTGCCAATCACATGACATTTTTTTGTCCCGTTTTTGGATGTCATTAGTGTGAAGGATTACATTAGTTGAATGTGTAAACATTGAGAATGAAATTGATGAAACTAAAACTTTGAGAACTAAGGTGCTACTAACGTTAAACCTCAAAGACTATTTATGTAAATTACCTTATAATCTATTTATTTATCTATAATTATATTTATATCTATATCTACATTACTTATAAGTGTTATTTGTAAAATACTTTTGATTTCCTAATAAAGTCATTGATACCCATATATTCCTTTCATTTAATTTTTTCCTATATATATTTGATTTCAAAGTTCGTTTGGACTCGTTTATTAACTGCATTTGATTTCTAAGTTATTTATTACTTTCATACAATTTTTATTTCCTATATTTATTTAAGTTTAAGTTCTTTTGGATTATTTTATTAATAATGTTTGACTTCTAAATTCTTTTATACTTATTTATTTATAAATGTCAATATCTGTAAAAAAAAAATTGATTTCTTATTTTGTCCCTAATTATTATTATAAAGTCATTGATATCCACATATTACTTCCATCTAATTTTTATTTCCTCTATTTATTTAACTTCTAAGTTCTTTTGAACTCTTTTATTAACTATATTTGACTTCTAAATTTTTTATTACTTCATACAAGTTGTATTCCCTTCTAAGTTCTTATTGGATTATTTTATTAATAGTATTTGACTTCTAAATTTTTTTACACTCATTTATTTATAAAAAAATGTCAGAATCTGTAAAAAAAAAATTTATTTTCTATTTTGTCCCGAATTATTATTATAGAGTCATTGATATCCACATATTACTTTCGTCTAATTTTTATTTCCAATATTTATTTAACTTGTAAGTTTTTTTGAACCATTTTATTAACTGTATTTGACTTCTAAATTATTTATTACTTTTATCTAATTTTTTTTATTATATTTATTTACCTTCTAAGTTCTTTTAGATTATTTTATTAACAGTATTGATTTTTAAATTCTTTTATACTCATTTATTAGTAGTCCAATTGCATTAAATTTTTAAATATATATCTTTATATTTATATGAAGAAATAAAGTCTAATCTACATCCTATTACTATATACATGTAGCTGTTAGATTTGATTTTATAACCAAATATATGTCATATTTAAGTTTTTGATATGAAAAACAATATGTTATTAGAATTAAAACAATAGTATTACAATTTAATCAATTTTTTTAACAAAAATATAATAAATCTATAATATAATTAGATGTGTAAGTATTCAATAATGACAATCTTACAATGAAACTTCATTATAAATAAAAGAAGAACTATCTAATGGGCCGGAGAGATATTTAAACAAATGACCAATTAAATACTAAAAGAGTGGTAGAATACATAAATAATTAGGTTTAACAATAATTAAAATAAATATAATTATGTCACACAATTTGTTATTCAATTTAATTTAAATTTTTTATTAAAAAATATTATTTAAATATATTCACGTATAATATACATCATGCATTGCTACTACTACTAATAAAAGTATTTTTAAATAATTTTTTTTAAACTCTATTATACTATTATAAAAGATTGCAAAGATTACTTTGTCATTTTACAATTAAAATTTTAAATTATCATTGTATCTTTATGTCTTGAAATTTTTAAATTATCTATAACATCTCTTTTAATTATTTAATTAGTTTCTATAATAAAAATTTAATTAATTATATTACCCTTAAAAAAATATGCATAATTATATTTTTAATAAAGTGTTCAAAAATTCTATCAATCTGATGTTACTCATCTCATATGCAAAGATAATAATATGCCTATATATGTATATTTTTTTTTTCATCGAAAAGTTTAATCTTTTTATTTTTAAGATAAAACATAATCATATATATAATTTTTTAAAATTAATTTATGTTACATAAATATAATTCTTCAGTCACAATAAATTTTCTAAGCTCTATAAAATTTTATGTAAAAAAAAATATTATACTATATTTTTGAATAAAAATTAATTTTTTTAGAATTTTAATATGGTTGATTATATATATATTATAGAATAGTATATTAAATTTTATTCTAATTGACCTAATTAATTCTTAATTATAATAAAATTTTAATATAATTAGTGTATTGACAAAAATTATTCGTGTTCTATTGTTAGTAAACCTTTATTCAAGTAAGACAAAATTTTATTACCAGAAGTCGCAAAAAAAAAAAAAAAAAAAGAAAAAGAAAACAGAAAAAGCAACATTATTAAAATCTACAATACCACGTAAATTCTCGTAATCTATTGGGTTAATCTAAAATTAAAAGCCAAAACATAAATAAATAAAATTGAAACAAACCAAGCTTTTGATGGGTTGTTGAAAGAACGCTCAGGTGGGAAATCGAGGGCTTGTCTTCGCTAACACTCTCTCTTCGTTCCCCTTCTCTCTCTATATCCAGATATATTTTGTCTGTATTTGACTCGCTCTGCAATTTTTGGCATGGATCTGTAAGTTGATAGATTCGTTTCTGAATTTTCGGTTTCTGTCTTTAATCTGATGTGTTGAATTCGAGCAAAATCTTTGCAATCTTTTTGGTATGATAATTTATGGTTGTGAAATTGAGATCCGAAAACCCTAGATCTCGCTTGTTTTGTGCTTTAATTACGTAATTTAACGGTTTCTAGTCAAATCAGTGGATTTAAGGGGGTATATTGTATTGGATCTCGAGTTTTTGCGTCGTTGAAGCTCGAATTTCAAGAGTAGGTTGAAAGTGGTGTATCCTGGGTAATTTAGGTTGATTTCTGTGGTGAACTGCGTGGGATCAGAGGGATTTGTAAGTGTTAGGGTTTGCTAAATGGCTTCGAATCCTCCATATCTGCTGGAGGATCAGACTGATGAGGATTTCTTTGACAAATTGGTCAATGATGACGACGACGATGATTTCAAGGCCACCACGATGGCAGTGCAAAAAATTTCCGATGGTAATGATTCGGATGAGGTTAAAGCGTTTGCGAATTTGAGTGTAAATGAGGTTGGAAGTGGGTTTGATGATTCAGGGGGCGATAGTGGGATTGAAGCCAAAGGGGAAGGTGGATTTGAAGCCATTAATGGAAAACATAAAGGGGTGTCAGTGGATGGGCATGTAGAAGTGAGTAGTAGTCCAATAGTATCATCAAATTCATTCGGGTTTACTGGTGTAACTGAATCCAATAATGGGGATGTAGAATCGGAGATCACTTCAGATTCGAGGGCGAATTCGTTTGGGTTTGATAGTGTGATTGAATCCAATAATGTTAATTTAGAAACAGAGGGCACAGCGGATTCCATGGTGAGTAAGAGTAGTGGATCTGCAGATTCAGGTGTTAAGGAAGTGCAATGGAGTGCGTTTAATGCTGATGTGACGCAGAATGATGGTAGTGGGTTTGGTTCATACTCGGATTTTTTTAGTGGATTGGGAGATAGTGGCGTGGATTCGATTGGCAATGTAGCGAACAATTTGAATAGTGAGCCGAAGATTGTATCAGGCAGTGAAGTACATGAATCTGCTTCTTTAGAGAATTCAAATAATTATGGGCAATACCAAGGTGGTTACACCCATGAAGCAGCCATAGAACAGGCTTCAGATGGACAGGTTTTGGATAGCAATCAGTATTGGGAGAATCTCTACCCTGGCTGGAAGTATGATCAGAATACTGGGCAATGGTATCAGGTGGATGGCTATGATGTGAATGCAACACTACAAGGAGGGGCTGAATCCAATTCAGTTGCAGATTGGAGTGTTTTTGATGGGAAATCAGAGGTTTCTTATTTGCTGCAAAGTTCTCAGTCTGTTGTGGGGGCAGTTGCTGGGAGTGGCACCACTGAGAGAGTCACTAATTGGAATCAGGTTTCGCATGCCAGTGACAACACCCAGTTGGTGACGGATTGGAATCAGGTTTCACAAGCGAGTGACACTGCAGGAACCGCATCAAATTGGAGTCAGCTTTCACAAGAGAATAATGGTTACCCGTCGCACATGGTGTTTGATCCTCAATATCCTGGTTGGTATTATGATTCAATTGCCCAAGAATGGCGCAGCCTGGACACATACACTTCATCAACTCAATCAACTGTCGACCTACTGAATCAAAATGGATTTGCATCAACTGGTACTTTTTCTCATGGAAACCATCAGAAAACTTTCAGTGAGTATGGGCATGTTGATACCCATGGGTCGGTGGGCTTTGGTAGCCAAGGCCAAGATTACAATTGGGATGCGTCATTTAGTAATTACAATCAGCAGGGGTCAACTATGTGGCAACCTGAGACTATTGCCAAGAACGAGGCTACTTCGAAATTCAGTACAAAGCAACAATTAGAGAATAATTATGGCACCAATTTTTCTGTAGGCAACCATGTTACTCAACAGAAATATCATGATTATGGGGGAGTAGTTCCATCATATGATAAAGGTAATCAGGGGTACGATGACTTTTCAACATTTGGTGGATCACGTGGTTTTGTTCCTGGTGGGCACCTCAGTCATCAGATTAATCAGCCAAGTGTTGAGGAAAAAGAGCACACGCATGTCTCTAATGATTACTATGGCAATCAGAATTCCGTACAATTTGCACAGCAACCATTTCAGAGTGGTCATCAGTTTTCTTATGCTCCTGCTGTGGGAAGGTCATCTGCAGGCCGCCCTTCACATGCTTTGGTTACATTTGGTTTTGGTGGAAAACTTATTGTGATGAAAGATAATAGTTCTCTTACAAACTCATCCTATGGTAGCCAGGTTAGTCCATGAGTATTCATCCTTTCAAGTTTTTATTTGAAATTTCTGTCAGTACATCACTCTCGGTGAACATTGAAAATGTCTTTTAAATTTTTGTGAAGGACCTTGTAGGAGGCTCGATATCTGTTCTCAACCTGACGGAAGTTGTTGCTGAAAAGGTTGATGCCTCAATCATGGGAGCAGGTGTCTGTGATTACTTCCGCATTCTCTGCCGGCAATCATTTCCTGGTCCACTGGCTGGTGGGAATGTGGGTAATAAAGAGTTGAACAAATGGATTGATGAGAGGATTGCAAACTGTGAATCTCCTGATGTGGATTACAGACAAGGTGAAGTTTTGAAGCTGCTTCTTTCATTGCTGAAAATTGCTTGTCAGCATTATGGAAAACTTCGTTCTCCTTTTGGAACTGACACCACACTGAAGGTAAATTATATATTTTTCATCTATACTTGCGGCCAATGAATATAAGCATTAGCAGGGTCATTGTTAAATATGATTTTTTTTTGTCCCAGTGTGGCTAATTAGTTGTAAATTCATGCATTGTAAAGTGCATGTATTTTGTAATACTTTTTGTGGTCAAGTTTCTGATATCGAGCAAAAATCTCTTTATTGCCATTTTACCCATTTGATATCTTGCTCCTTAAAAAATATTCAATTTAGTCTTTTCACCCTTGATTTCTCCTATATTTTTTTAAACTTCTTTAGTTACTTTAGATTTTCTATTGGAATGTTAATTACTTAATGCTACGTATTATGGCATAAAAGGAAGCAGTTCCTTACCCCAGATAATTTATTTTTCCAAAACTAGGTGTTTATTTCTGCTTCAATTCACCATGAGCGTGCTGTGGACATGATTAATCCGGAATTTGGTGCTTTGTTGGGTTTGTTCTTTGCAACAGGAAAGTGATTCTCCAGAATCAGCAGTTGCTAGACTTTTTGCATCTGCCAAGAGGAATGGTGCAGAACTGAGGGAATACGGTGCTCTTGCCCGCTGCTTGCAGAAATTGCCTTCTGAAGGACAAATGCGGGTATTCATGATATAGTCTGCACCCCTTAGTTTTTCCATTGGCAATTCCTTCATCTAGTAATTGTTATTGATATATGTTTTAGGCTACTGCTGCTGAGGTTCAGAGTCTTCTAGTTTCTGGTAGAAAGAAAGAGGCTTTACAGTGTGCACAAGAAGGTCAGTTGTGGGGGCCCGCCCTTGTTCTTGGTGCACAACTTGGCGATCAGGTCTCTCTCTCTCTCTCTCTCTAGCATGTAATTTTTTGATGATTGGGTGCTAGACGACAAACACAAAAGCTTTGTTTCTCTCTTAATTGTTTTCTTCTCTCTATTGTTTTTTAACTTTTTTTTCATTTTGTTTACTTTTTATTATTTTGGGACTGCAGTTCTATGTTGAAACTGTCAAGCAAATGGCACTTCACCAGCTAGTATCAGGGTCTCCTTTGCGGACATTGTGCCTATTAATTGCTGGTCAACCAGCTGATGTATTTTCTACAGACACTGCAGCTGATAGTGGCATTCCTGGTGTTGTAAATATGTCTCAACAGCCCGCACAGGTAATATGTTTTCATTAATTTGTGGCAAAATTATTGCTGCTCTGTCCCTCTCATTTGCCTGCTTTATCTTACTACAGACTAATAGGTAGTTTTCAAGAATCTTTTATATATATATATATATATATTTGGGGAGGGGGAAGGGGAAGGGGGAAGTATTCAAGCATCAAGCATCAAGCCTTGTGAAATATGATGCAAAGCATGTCCTGTTTGCAGCATCCTGATTATTCATTACATTTATATATTAACCATGTGTGCTTGTATTTTCAAAAAAATTTTGTGGAAAAATTTTCAATGATTAGCCTTCAGTTAGAAAGCTAAACCTCCTTTTCTTTCTGCTTTCTATGGCTATATACTGCAGTTCGGTGCCAATGGTATGCTTGATGACTGGGAAGAGAATTTGGCCGTGATAACTGCGAACAGGACAAAAGATGATGAGCTTGTGCTTATTCATCTTGGAGATTGCTTGTGGAAAGAAAGAAGTGATGTATGTCCTGGCTATTTTATTGTTGTTTAAATGATTTTATATTCTTGGTCTTGGTGAATTTTTGCATCCTAACATTTGGTTTTGTGCTTCCAAATATGATTGATCAGATTATTGCCGCGCACATTTGCTATTTAGTTGCAGAAGCAAATTTCGAGCCATATTCAAACAGCGCAAGAATGTGCCTTGTTGGTGCAGATCACTGGAAATTCCCACGAACGTATGCTAGCCCAGAGGCTATTCAGGTGCTACTCAGTTTCCATTTACTTATGCACCATTTCTCTTACGGAGAAAAAAATGTGAACTTTCTTGATCATGCTGGTTATTCGTCTTCTTGTGTACAAATTTGACTAGTTATATAATCTTATGGACTTCTGGTTTTAGAGCCAGTTTTCACTGCTAAAGTGTAATTTCTCAGAGATTTCAAGGTTCTGTTTTGGTCTTCTCTTATGGCCATGCATTATATTAATTTTTTTGGATGTAATCCTTCTGTAGATCAAGTGGTTCTACATATGTGCTCTGACATGGTGTAAGTATTTATTGCAAGACGTTTTTTTGAAAGGCTCCTTTTTTTTTTGGCTCCCAATTTTTCTGCACTCTTTTATCATTCACCCACTGTACACTTGTGTGGGACTTAATGCATGCAGGTAATGCCCAAAAAATTATGCAGGTGTTTACAAGACCGACCTATTTTGAGTGATGCAAGGTTGAGTAATAAGGCCCATGGTCAAGTCCACATAACAATGGCCGCCTATGTAACCCCAAACATGGGTGAAAATGCAAATCACTGTAATATAGCTTAAGTTTAAGGTCATTACCCAGTTTGGCATCCGTCAATTGAGGGTGTTGGGAGGGTATCTAAGCATGGCATTATATATATGAAGTAGTTGCCTTCTGATGCAGACCTGATGCTTGTTAGCTGATAAGTTCACCCCTGCACTGGGCAAGCTTAAGCATAGGAACTCTATTTTCCTTTATAAAGGATAAACTAAGTAATTAACAAGACTATGTACTATAGCATAGTTGAGCTGGAGTATTCATTTCCTGATATTATGTTCCGTTTCTATAGTGGGCAACACATGGAGGCTGTATTAAAATCTCAACTTTCTTGCTGCTTATGCTATTGCCTAATCATATATGTTATATTCTAGCAAAAGGGCTGCATATTCATTTTCTCATTGCAAATGATATTCATGCAGTTGGGATTAGGTTCTCCTGACATGAATTGAGAACCAATTGATGTGTTTGTTTCCATTCCCTGGGATCAATTAACAAGTGTGGCAGAAGTAATTGACCTAGTACATACTTTAACCAATTTGTTTTAGTTAATGGCACATAAGGCATGCACAGACTGGAGGTCGACATTATTCAGTTTGTATTGAGTTCATGAGATTGTATATGTTTTATGAAATCCTTTTACTTGCAATTGGAGTTCACATTTCATGATAAAGTATACATCTTCATGTTTGGTTGAGAGATATTGTCTTCTTAGAGTGGTCTTTTTCTTTCCATGACTTCTCTTTTGTGTGTGCATGTTCTACTAGTGCTTATCTCAGTGTCTGAGTCTAGCTGCATTTTCCTTCTGCAAGTTATAGAGATTACCTTATCAGGAGCCATCGAATAGAGATTACCTTAAAGAAGGTGAAAGGTAGGGCTTAGTTTACCAGACCAAAAGCTTAACACGAGCAAGAAATAGTGAACTTCTACACTAGTACATTTTTCCTGTTAATCATTTCCCTGTTAAATTTGTGTTTTCATCTAACTTGGTCCACCTATATTTTTATACAAGTCTACATATTGAAAAAATGTGCTGTAGTTGTAATATATGTACGGCAGAACCTGGTCTATTTTGTTTTGATCCCCAGGCCAAAATCATAATATTTTCTGAAAATCTTAACCTCTGGTGAACATCAGCTTGTCTCCATCCACTCTCTCAAGGCAACCAGTAATAATTAATTTATGGTGCAATTTAAGTAGATTACTGTACTGACTTATTCGGTGTTTGGACAGAGGACAGAGATGTATGAATACTCAAAGGTGCTTGGCAACTCACAGTTTACCCTACAACCGTTTCAGCCATATAAGCTACTATATGCACACATGTTGGCTGAAGTGGGAAGGATATCGGATTCGTTGAAGTATGTAATTGAGAGTTCTATATTTCAGCTATTCTTGATTTTTGGTTTTGATTTTCTCAGCATATTTGTGTTAATTCAGGTACTGTCAGGTGGTATTGAAGTCTTTGAAAACTGGTCGAACCCCCGAGGTAGAAACGCTGAGACAATTAGTGTCATCTCTTGAAGAGAGAATAAAAGCTCACCAACAGGTACCTCTCATTTCCGTAAATTTTTGTAATGTGTGTTATAGATCCCTTTAAGGGAGACTATCTATTTCCAGGGTGGATTCTCCACGAACTTGGCTCCTGCAAAACTGGTCGGAAAATTGCTCAACCTTTTTGATAGTACTGCCCATCGCGTTGTTGGAGGCTTGCCACCACCTGTGCCATCAACATCTGTTGGCAGTGTACAAGCTAATGATCACCATCACCAATCAATGGGACCTAGAGTATCGACTAGCCAATCAACTATGGCAATGTCATCATTAATACCCTCAACATCTGTGGAGCCTATAAGTGAAGTATCATCTGAGGGTAATAGGCGGGCTAAGCATAACAGAAGTGTTTCAGAACCAGACTTTGGAAGAAGTCCCAGACAGGTTGGTGATCTGAATAATTTAATACATTCGAAAACCCGTTTATTCCATACCCAATTGTTTGTATATTCGTGCTTTTTCATGATCTGGGAATAAAATAAATGAGTTGTTTGCCAATTTAATGTGGGATCAGGTTGATTCATCAAATGAAGCGAACTCTGCTAATGCACAAGGCAAAACATCAGTTTCAGGGGGGACATCCCGCCTTGGTCGTTTCAGATTTGGTTCCCAGATCTTTCAGAAGACCATGGGGTTAGTCTTAAAGCCACGTCAGGACCGGCAGGTAGGTTTTCTCAGTTACTTTTGTACAGAGCATTGCCTCACATGATTCTTTTGTATCTGAAGAGTTTCGAGTTTGGTTTCCTGGGTTTCTTGTACTAAGTTTTTCCTATGTCCGTCTCTCGTTTGTTGCATTGCTACTAAAGGCAAAGTTGGGTGAAACGAATAAATTTTACTATGATGAGAAACTTAAGAGATGGGTAGAAGAAGGCGCTGTACCCCCAGCTGAGGAAACAGCTCTTCCACCGCCACCAACTGCTGCAGCCTTCCAGAACGGAACCTCAGATTACAACTTGAAGAGTGCAATAAACAGTGAAGTGTCTCTTGGAAATGGAAGCCCAGAATTTAGAAGCCCAACACCTCAAGAACATAGTTCTGGAATCCCACCACTTCCACCCACCTCAAACCAATTCTCAGCACGTGGACGGATGGGTGTTCGGTCAAGGTAACTAAAAAACTAGTTTCTCATGTTCTCTGCTGATACTGCTTTTAATTCATGTGACTTACCAGGGACTACCACTACCAGTAGCGTACAGAACAATCTGTAGTCACCTTCTAGCTTAGTTTGCTATGATCTGAGGGAGCAATTACCATTTACATATGTTTATGTCTCCTGATTCTGAATTTCTTACCTGCCCTGACTAGTAGGAGTAAATTATAATAGTCTCTCCTTGAACTTTTGATTTGAACCTGGGTTGCCTTCTATACTTTGAGGAGTGCAGTTGTAATGGTAGTAGAATATTTATCATTCCAATGGTTGACCTACAGGGGATCTTTAAATAGTGTTGACTTTTTTCCATTGAGAAGTTTATTGTGTCCCTGTAATATTAGGAAAATGCTGTGTACAGGGTCCTAATCAATTACAGTTGTGGAATGAAAAGTTGACTTCATCTAATATTTGAACTCACAAATAATCCAATGACTGCAATAAATTAGATCCCGATTAGGTCCCTATAGCATTGCTCTAAATAGTAAACATATCCAACTATATTTCCTTTTCTATCTGTGTTCAGCTTCTAAAAGATTGGCTTTTTTCTCCTTTTTTAGGTTGTATATTTGACATTGATGTTCTAGTCTTCCCTTAGCAACATGGACACTGTAATAGGTGGTATTTATTTGAGAACAAAATCTAGACAGCCAATTTCTGACTTGGCCACCTATGTAAGTATTTTTTAATTTTTTAGGACTAAATTATTTTTTGAAGGGGTTCTTTAAGATGCATGCTGGATCGGCTAAATTTGTGGACGATTACAATGTGTTCATGTTTGTAAAAATAAAATGAATGAAGTAAAATAGGGGCAAGAAGTCCAATGCCATAATGGCGGGCAGGTTGAATTATGAAGTTGGCAGGTAACTCATTGGAGTTCCCATCCGTTTTATTTGGTGTCATAAGTATTTTTGCCCTTCCACTTGGTATATAGTTTCACTGCACACCTATTTAGATTTTTTTTTTGGTAAAATGAGTTGTGTACTTTTGGCAGGTATGTTGACACCTTCAACCAAGGTGGTGGGAACTCAGCAAATTTGTTCCAGTCACCCTCTGTTCCTTTCAATAAACCCTCTACCGGTGCCAATCCAAAGTTTTTCATTCCCACACCAGCATCCTCTGCCGAACAGGCAGTCGATTCTACTGCAGATAGCAAGCAAGAAACTGCAGTTATCGATGAATCAGTTTCCTCCATGAACAACTCATTCCTGTGTCCTGCACCTTCCTCATCGATGGCTATGCAAAGGTTTGCAAGCCTGGACGACATCTCAAACAAGGGCATCCGTAGTAATGGCTCCCTTCCACCTGCATCCCGGCGAACAGCATCCTGGAGTGGAAGCTTTGGTGATGCTTTTAGTCCTCCGAGTAGGGCTGAATTAAAACCTCTAGGGGAGGTATTGGGTATGCCCCCATCGTCTTTTATGTCTAGTGGCCCTTCTTTAACACACTCATCAGTGAATGGTGGCAGTTTTGGGGATGACCTTCATGAAGTGGAACTTTGAGGTAATGAGGATGTAAATATCAAGTTTTGCTTCTCATAATTTCCCATTGCTCGACCAGGTCCTGCTCTAAATCTCCCAATGCAAAGGGCATTAAGCAGTGGAATTGTGTTCAAAGGAGGTCACAAAATGTTTTTTTTTTTTTTTTTTCTTTCATTTTTTTTCAAGTTGTATGTTGAAAAGTAATTGGCTTACCTAGTTGTTTACTGTACCTTTCTTTAGAAATAGGCTTTTATATTTCTTAACGTTGACACCATCTGATGCTTGGAGGAGCTGGTGTTCTTACAATATAGCAGACAAAGTGTTCAAGGGCAACACTGTACAGTTCATTTGTTCATTTATTGAAGAAAGGAAGGTCCGACCGTCCTTCGAAGAAGTCAAATAAAACACTTTGGAAGGACTTCTTGATGGGAAAATGACAGTGTATTAAGTTGGAGAATAAGAGGATATTTATGTTTGTTCTTTCGGGGAGGTGCAACTATATGGCTACTGTTTTGAGTGGTTATGTGCTTCATTTTACTTTTTTGGATTTCCAGAAGCCTTATTAAAGTGAAATGTGTTTGGGTATTTTGCAGAAAGAGATTGCTGATGTAGTGAACCAGGTGGGATTGGTTGGAGAGAGAATTTTACTGTCTTAGTCGAATAACTAGTTCTATTCTGCCCTTATTTTTGTTTGAATAATCAGCGGAAGTGGAGAGATACTTTGTTGAAAGCTTATTCTGAAAAGTTAGTTAGTTGTTTTCATTTTCGATAGGTCTGAAGAAAGCTGCAATATTTTCCTAATCCTCGTTGAAGAGAGCGTGAAATTCTTTTGCCCTTCTGCCGTGACCCGGAGGTTGGATTTAACCGTAAAAAGAATGTTCATTACGAACGCCCTCGACTGGTATAACGAAATGTGTCTATAATTTTTTAACTTGACTCAAATTGGGAGCAGATTTGAAAAAAAACTTGATCTTACTTGCAGTTACACTAATATCTGAATATTTTAAATTAAAACTTGTGAAAACATTTTAGCCTTCCAATGAATTTTATCATACTCTAGACTAAAAAAGTTCCATGGAATATGAATAAATAAATTTTGTATACCACATTAATATTTAAATTCAATAAAATTAATGGTAAAAACTCGTGTGGTATAAAGGATTCACATACCAAATGACCTTCTAAAATCATATTTAATTTTGGAAAAAAAAAATCATTTTTAACCTCTTTTTTCATAAATAAGTGAAAAAACAAGGTTGAATCAGATTTTGATCTGCCACACTTAAAATAAATGGAAAATAATAGTCCGCCACGTGCCAAATTTAAGCGTGAAAAGTTCCAATGTGGGAGAGAGTACAGTAGCTTCCCTGCAAACGAACCAGACCCAAAATGCACAAACACAAAGAATCCTACAATCATAACCTAACTACCCAAGAGAGAGAGATGAAGCACACAAACCCCATTAAAAGTAGCAAAACCAAACCTTCATTTTTTGAACTATAAAAAGACAATGGATTTATCATCTCTCCCAGAAGCACAGAAACAACAGCTTCAGCAACTTCAACAACAATTCAAAGAACACCAAGCACAGCAACAAGCAGAAAAGGAATCCCAATATCTACAACAACAACAACAGCAATATCAAGATTATGCTTCACAAGCCTACGACCCATCTCAGGTTCAATCCTATGATCCATCCTATTACTCTTATTACCAGCAATACCAACAAGACCCACAACATTCACAGCAAGAACAGGACACCCAACAACAAAATTACTCGTATTATCAGACAAATTACGCCAATGCGTATTCACAACACCCACAACAACAGACCCAACGCGAATCGGCGTCGATTCTTCCGCCTGGCGTTTTGGTTCAGCAAGAAACGGCACCGCTTGCAAGTGAGTTAGGTAGGTCCACTGCGTTACCGGGGGTGGGGTCCACCATGGGGTTGGGACAAGAACAGGTACAGGTGCAGCACCAGCAGAATGCGAATTATCCGCAACAGGTGGGTGCGGGAGGAGATCAGTTGAATTCGGTGCCGACGGGACTGAACCCGGCGGTTGCGGCGGCAGTGGCGGCGCTGTCGCAGCTGACACATTTTGCGGGGACAATGGATGCGGCGGAGAAGGCGATGGTGGGATTGCAGGGGCGGCAGTGGTTTGGGAGGAGTAATGGGTATGGGCCGTTGATTGGTGGTCCTGGGTCGATGTATCCCGGGCAGGAGCAAATGCTTCCGCCGGTATGTTGTTTTTTATCAACTAGTGATATCTTCCCTTTTGTCAATTACAGGTTTAATTTGATTACTGTTTTATATTTGTATCATTTAGTGGTGCATTGTTTGTTTAGGATTGATGAGAAAGCCATAATCAGCTTTGTTATGTTGTTTAAATTTTGATTACACATTCAGGGTGGCTTGGTAGTTAACCTATGTATTACAATGTGGATTTGTCTTTATTCTTTAAGCTCTGAAATTTTCCTGATTCAACATGTTCAATATGCAATTTAACATGTGGTTCGTTGTATGCTGATAAGATTTTGGATATGTGAAGAGTTTTGTATTTTTTGACCAGGGTATATAGTGTTCTATTGAGCTAAGTCTTTCTTGAAGAGATTACATGGAAATTTGAGTCACATAATTCTTTCTCAATTATCCTGTTGGTTTCGTGTCTATCTATAAAATCAACTTCATGTAAATTTATGTGCAAAAGAGAAAAATATTGGTGGTCTCGAAACATATGCTCAATCTTATTTTTGTTTGTCAACTTTAGTTGTATCATTTGGATACATAAAAGTGTCATATTTGTTTCTAAATGGCTCAAGTATAAACTTCCATGCAAATAATTATAAGAATGTGCACCTGGCGATCATTATTAGAAGATACTTTACCCTTATTTGTCAATGAGTTGAATTGATGTTAACAATTGGATCATTTAGAAACAGGCTTGTTATTTAAAGGACTAAATTTATGCAATTGGAAATAGAAGAACCAAAATGTGTTTGAACACATATTTGCATATTTGGGACCACTATGGAGTTTTGCGCCCCCCCCCCCCCCTCTTCTTTTTTCTCCTAAAGGAAAAAAAAAGGAAATTACAAATATTAATGCATTGATGCTATATCAAGAGAGAAAAATGTAATTTCGAGCATAACACTAACGGGAGGGAATTACGCGAGTGAGAACTTTAAATTCAATATATGTGATTAATAGTTGAGTGCGAGCCTTGGCACACAAGTAAGGTTCAGGAAACAAATCTCCTTTGATTGAGGTGTTCTCCTTATTGCCATTCACCTAAAATCATATTTATCTCCCCAATTGAAATTTTTATCTACAACACATTGATTAATAGTCAAGATGCTTGTTTACCTTGAATGCATTCTCAAGTCACTTGAATTGTTTCTTCATGTAGATGTATAAAATGTTCTTAAGGGTGTGCTGTTATGTTTGTTGAAGATTCTACTCCATTTGAGTAACTTCCAGTGCTTTGGTGGCCTTGCAAGATGTATTGCACCTTTTGTGGTTATATTTGTTGGCCTCTACAAGACTGTTTAATCTAACTGTAAAACATTTATGTAATTTTTAGGTTAGCCACATAACACTAGTTAGTGATTTGATATCTATGTGCAGATTTGTATAGTGTCACTTGGGAAATTTGTCAATAGCTAGTTACTTGTCAAAACAGAAATAAAACTTGTCAAAACAGAAAGAAAAAAAAAAGAAAAGAAAAATGTGTTGGAAGGTACGGCTGACATACCATTCTGGCATAATATTGGAACTCTTAATGTAAACTGCCTATTGTGTTCGATAATTAGATCCATATTAGCATCTTGATCAAGTGATGCCTTTTTGATATTCTCCTTCAATCAACTGATTCTCCTTCGGTCAAGTGATGCCTTTCTTTCCCTATCTTTCACAGGTTGGTGCTCTCATTTTCTTGGGTTCGATGGTCATCATTTGATCTCGATGCACCCAATCCTTCCTAGCCACTTAGGGTATGTTTGGTTTAGGTGTTAAGGGGGTGGATTAGATTAATTTAATCTGGTAATAATATAATATTAAGTTTGGGTGAGGTTATAACAACCTGATATTAATTTTAATTAATATCAACCCTATTCACTATTGTCATTTAACAGCTAATATTACGTAGTAATGAATACCATGTAGTAGGTGGTATTATCTATAACAAGAAGTATTAAAAATGCAATGAATTTATTATCCTTTCAAATTTAGAGTTATATTTTCATATAAAAGTTATAAATAATGTAAATTCTTATCCTCAATATTTGTTTTGTCATTTTTAATTTAATACCGTACACTATTATTTAATCTAAACATAAATTTGGTATTATAATTATAGATTTGTATATTATCCTTACCTTGATCCAAACTTGTTATACAAGGATAAGATTAAATAATACTTTTATTAACAACATTTTATAGATTGGATAAGAATTAATTATCCAATCCCATCTTTTATTTGTACCTGAACCAAACATGCCCTTAGTGTTTACTCAACTATTTGTATGCCTCATAGTTGAGCTGCCCATTTATGTTATTTTCATGGCTTCGGTGTACTTTCATCCATGCTATCTAAGGCACAAGGCAAATCTTGATGCTAAGGTTCTCTTGGGGTCCTAGATGTGAGGTGAAACGAGTGCTTGATCAAAAAACATCATAAATAACAAGCAATTGTTTTATACTAGACAAAACTTTCAAACAAACTGGAAAAAATATAAGTCAATTTTTTTCTTAGACCATAAGCCTATGGGTATGAGAAATAATAATATAAAGTAAGTAAAACATTGTATGAGGAGTTCTACAAAGATAAAAGTCATAATTGACCACAAAATAATTACAAAGTTTCCAAATTCCTAGTTTTCAAATACTAGATAATACAAATGGTACAAGCAATCATTATTAGCTAGATACTAACTAACAAACCAATACTTACAATCGCTTGATGAGAGAGTAAAAGGGCTTTAGAAAAAATAAGATGTAACAAGACTTACCATAGGTGTCAAAAAAAAAAAGGAAAAAAAAGGAAAGTAAGAGAATTATTGGCCTCAAAAACAACAAAAAGAAGAACCAAAGGATATGAAAAAGGACCAATAGAGGTGGTAACGACCAAAAGCAGCGGAAAAACAATGATCCAACAAATTGAAAGGGCCAAAACAAAAAAAGAAAGGTTGAAGCCTATTCATCGGAGGAAACACAAAAGAAGAAGAAAGAAGAAGAGGAGGAAATGAAAGGGAGTGATGACTACAAGAGAGAAAGACAATGTAGATGTCGCCAGAGGAGAAAGTTAAGCAGCTCTAGCTTTGAGCCAACCTTAACTCTTAGGTAACTCTCACAAATATATTAGGCAAATTAAAGCTAGGGTTAGGATATTTATAGCTAACCTAAAATTTAACAAGATAACCCAAAAAAAAACCAAGCGTTTTAGCTCCCTAAGCTTAATCCCCAAGGTGTGCCTCAATTTTACCTCTATAAACTCGTCTCGCTCGTGTAGGTTTCTAGGTATCGGCCGAGTCTAATATTATACGACTTGGCCACTCCCGATGTGATAGTGCTACACGAAATGAAAAAATCGCGAGTCAGACCTATATCGGCTATATCTCGGCAAAACTCGGACATATTGACATAAATCGGATTCAACATAGTAGGACTTGGACTATTCAAATTGGAATCGGCTGGTACGGTCAAATCTTGTGCAAAATTCCCAAAATTTCAGACAAACAACAAAAATCCAAATTAAAAGAGAAGGGGTGAAGGATTCCAAGACCCACCTTTGTAAAAGCTCTCACCAGTTGCGAAAAAACCTGGAGAAGTAGCAAAAAAACCAAACTAAAAAGAGAAGCCCGTTGCTAACTGTAAACCAGTCGTGCCCAGGAGTTTTACAGAAACAAATTGGAGAAGTTTTGGCATTAGTGGCTTCATCGCCCATCTTCCCAGTTGCCTTTGTCGGTTTGTCTCCTCTTAGATCTCTCCCCCCCTTCTCTCTGGATTGAGACGCAGATGCACAAAAGTCTTTGGGAAGCTAAGACTTAAAATATCCAGCTTTTTAGATTTTTTTTTTTGTTTTCTTTTTATTTCTTTATCTTCTTTTAGTGAGGTTAAATTATTTTATGTGGATAATGGTTTTTGAGTCTTAAAAGACTTGTTTTTTTGGGAATTAATAATTTTTTTTTTGTTTTCTTTTTACTTATTTATCTTCTTTTAGTATGATTAATTTATTTTATTTGTAGGTAATAGTTTTTGGTACACTTTTGCCCAAGTTTGCTTGAGGTAAACTTTACTCTTTCATAGACCATTAAATAACAAATATATTTGTTTTTTTAAGCTCAAAATATTAACTAAATGTCAAAATATCAGTATGCTCTTAAATGCTTAAATTGAACACTGAAAAATGGTAATTATTTTTAATTTAATTATGCTTAATGTGTTTTTAGATATATTGTGGACATATAATGCATGAAATTTGATATTTATATTTTTTTTAAAAAATTTCATGATTTTTTCAAATTTTTTTGGAGCTTCTATATAGCGTTTTGAGTGTATCAACCGATATTATGCTATGACGCCGCGACCGATGTGTATGCAACTGATGTGTATTAATACTCTCTGAGTTGATGGTCGATACTATGACTTTAAACCATGAGTACAATGACAAAACAAGATTTTGTAGAGTTGAGTTGATTATTCTATGTCACTGGAATGAGTACCACTTTCTTGTGGGTTTATTGTGAGTTTTACTAGAATTTCTATGTTTCCTGTCCTATGCAAGTTACTTCTCCACTAGATTTTTGTCCTGAATGAGACGTCTACCGATGGATTATACATGAAATAAGTATCAGATGAGTTGAATAGATTAGTCCTAAATGGGATGTCCACTTATGCTTTTGTGTATCACAACTCTATGCTCTTGTTTTAGAAAGGGTTGATTGCAGGGTTTTTTTTTTTTTTTTGAAAAATTCCTTGTTTTGATATTTCTTAAAAGTAGAAGCTAAAGTAGACTAAAGTATGAGATCCTACATCTTTTTTGTTGTCATGTGAAATTTAAATGAGAATATTGATCTTGCTCGTAGAACCTTTTATAAGTTTGTCACAGTTTAAAAGAAAGATGATCGTTAAAAGCTTGTGTATGTTTCAGTAGTTCCTTTTAATGCATATTTAAGCACTGTGGTCAAGTGTTTGTTTCTTTACAATTGTAATATCTGTGACTTTCTTCTCCTTGTTCAGGATACAGATATCACGATTCAAATTATCGGCCGAGTCCGATATGATTGAGTCGATTCGTATCTGCCTTGGCCATGAGATTTTAAATGGGATCCTAAAGCTTCAGTAGTGGCTGAGGCGGATATGAATTGGCCATTATCTATACGATACCGATACACAACACCGAAAACTTGAGTTTTCTTTTTGAAACGGTTGCAAATCGGTACAAGTCGATCGATTTGCATTAGACTCGAACCAATTCACACTAATCGTTCAATCACAACATCAGTTAATAGAGAAAATGCCAAAGAAAGACAGCGGAGATGAAGACAAGAAGTACAAGACCCACACTTTGCAAAAACAAAAAAAAAAAGCCAAGATAAATCAATCAAACAATTAGAAAAAATATCAACACTAACGTGTAAATCTGGAATGAAACTTAGACAACTTCTTCTTTAGAGTTCAAGCCTTCTTCTTCGTAGAGATCGATTGCAAGAAACCCTAGACAAGCTTGAAAACCCATCAGCCAATGCAACAAGATCCACAGCCCCATGAGTCGGCGAAGCTTCGATCTAGACCTGACCCTCTATCAGTCTTGTGATGTATGTGTGTGTCTCTCTCTTCTTCTTTTGGCGTTGTTCATCTTCATCGGGAAGGAGATTGATTGTGCCTTAAAATATCAAGCATAGTCAGTGAGTCAGGTTAACCATTGGCTTTTTTTATTTCCCAATCCCACTGGTTATTATATCCGGAACAAAAAGAAAATATCACTGGTCTAGTTTGTTTTACTTTGTTTTATTCTAATTTATATATATTTTTTTACGTAACTAATGATTTAAATAATTAGACTAAAATAATGAAGATGACATAGATGATGATAAATATTCTTGGTAGTGGCCTTATAATATTTTTTACTATATTTAATGTGTTAAACAATGCATTTTAAGGATATGATGCTTGGATTATATTGTTTACATTTTTTGGAATTTTGAATGATTTTTTTTTCAAATTTTTTTGGTTCTTCTATGTAGTGTTTTGAACATATCGGTTTTGAATGTATCAGCCATTGCTGAGTCTCAATGTCGTGACCGATTTGTCTCAATGTTCTTCGAGTCAATGTCTAATACCATGATTTTGAACCATGACAGGTACACAAGTGGGATTGAAATTTGGTTCAATGAGTTTAAAATACCATCAGTATTTTGGTTTATATGTGTAGTCTAAATAATTAGATAAACAAGAAGCGACAATCACTTTGCTTTGAGGAGAATGTCACCTTAGATACATATGAATAACGATCAAAGTTTTGGCTTTGACAAATGCTCCATGGAGTATATAGTAATTACTTGGACATTGAAATAGATATTCAAAGAGTCAATATTCACCCGCGAAAGCTTTCTTTTTTTCTAAGTTTGGGGCAATTCAAACTGAAACGATAAAAGACAAAACAAAATAAAGATTCCTTATAACACACAAATTTTCTATCTATTTTTTCTAAAAAGAAAAGATATGTTTAGTTATATATTCAAACAAGATATAAAAATTCCTAATAAATTAGATGAAATCTCAAAGAATCCCATGATTTAATGTATTATTCATTAAATACCATGTATATCTTAATTAAAGATTTTGGATTTCATTTGCGAGGAGTTGGATGAGAAGAAACTCTCAGTGTCTGATTCTGTAGTAGAGATGGAATTGAGAAACTACCATCAACTATGACCCTGTAGATTAGATTCTGTGTTTCACACGATATCAGAGGTGTGGACAAAAAGGGTTTTAGTTCTCCCTTTTGAGTCTGTGCTCTTCTTCCTTGCTCCAGGTTAAGTGTTGTCTGCTTGTGACAATTGGCTGTTAGCTTTAATGGCAAGGGGAAGGTGCAGGTTCCAAGACCCCTTGGTATGTGGGAGTGCATTTCATTTTTAACTACTTATTAATGCAGGTAGAGAGGCTTCTTTGAATGCTTGAACTTGGGTCCAAATTCTGAGCATTGAAATTAGTCTTTCTTTTACTTTTGATATATTTAAGATATTAATCTTTATATTTTTTTGTTGCTGATTCTGTAGTTACTCCTCTTCATTTACAAATCTGTTTTCTCCAGTTATTAAACTCTTGGAAACCCATTTGACACCTTTCCTGTAGGTTGGTCGGTCGTCCTACAGGGGTGGCGGTAGAAGAGGTGACAGGCCATCCAGAGGTGGTGGTCAGGGAAATTTTGGCAATCATGCATCCAACACAGGTGGCTCAGGGCCACCTTTTCGTGGGAGAGGGCGTGGTCGAGGTAGGAGTGGTCCCAGGCGCTTCCCACAGCACGGGGCATCATCATCATCACATCTAGAACCTAATTCTGCTGAGGAGGAAGAAGAGAAGGTAGAAATGCCTCCTGATAATCATGAAGAGGGAGCCCAAGCATTAGTGCCGTCTCAGGCATCTACATCAGCACCGGGAAAAGCAGCTCCTAGCTCGCAACCTGCTGTGGTTGCGCATTGCGAACTGTGCAAGGCTGATTGTAATAGTTTTGAAATCCTTGAGCAGCACAAAAATGGAAAGAGACATAAGAAAAACTTGCAAAGAGCTGCGCAGTTGAATACTGCTAACAAACCTGCTGCTGAAATGCAGAACCAGCAGAAATCTGTCTCTGGCTCTGATCCTGAGGCTAATTTGCCGCCCAAAGATGTCGAAGAGGGTGAAGAGAACAAGCAAAACCTTCCTGAAAATTTACCCACTGAAGCTGTTACCAATGAAAACAAAATGGGAACAGGACAGCAAAACAATCTAGCGGAACAGCCTGAAATTCCTAAAGAGGAACAATCCACTGTGCAAGCAAGGAAGCCTTGGATTAACCGGTTTGACAGTCAAAGGCATGGCATAAAAAGAAAGATGAGAGGCGGTCATGGAGGGAAGCACGTGAAAGCTTTTAATGCACCAAGACGGCCAATTGAACCTCCCAAACCCAAAGTGGTGATTCCCTTGATCTGTGACTTGTGCAATGTCAAGTGCGACACTCGGGAGGTTCTTGATCGCCATCTTTCTGGTAAGAAGCACATTGCTAAGCTTAAGCGCTTTGAAGGACACCAAGCTATGTACGGACCAATGGGGCTTCAAGCTCTTTACCCTCCTAACCCTATCACTCAAAAACTACTACATCCTCAAGGCCATCAGCAAGCCTTTTATGGCCCTCAAGGCTCATATCCTCCTCCACAGGCTTACGTGCCTCCTCAAACTTACCATGCAGCACCGGAGATGACAAGTACAGGTCCTGGATATCAGGTACATCCCCCTCAAGTGTCTGACGCCATTCCTAATTTTAGTGGCCAGGAAGCTGTACATCAAGCTCAGGAGCAGTCAGCATCAGTTGAACCAGAAGCCTAGTAAGTTGCAACTGCATAGATGTTTACTGAAATGGTTTTTCAGGGTCTACTACAATCATCACCAAAAGTGAGCATGTTATTTTGGTGACGCATGAAGCTGTCACAGAGCCAGATTTTGGAGCCATTTATAACCATGTCATCTTGCCGTGTCTTGATGTGCAAAACGAGGAAGCACTAGGCTAGTATTGCTTGCAACTTTTGGGTTCTATCTGCACAGAAAGAAACTTGCTTTTTGCCCCTTTTGTTTTTTCCTTCCTAACTCCGTGGGATGTTCTCTTTATGACTATATTGCGAAATTTAGATAAAATTTATCTGATACATAAAAATTTATGTTGGTTTAATGAGGCTAACGTTTACCTTTTAGAAACGGCATAGTTGCTTGTCACCAATTTGTTGGTCTTGCTCAATTTGAAACGACGTGGTTTTTGGACGCTGGGGGGTTCGGATTACTTGTGCCCGGATATTGCATGATAGACAGAAGTGTAGGTGATGATTCAAGAGAAATGCTATTGTTCGCTTAGTGTGAATCTCTCTAAAATAGTGGCAATTTGATAGTTAGGATGACATGCAGTTTTTAAGGTCATTAAAACATGGGCCCCATGCTGTGTAGGGTTAAATGCAGCTTAATAGCTGTTCCTTCAAAGTTGATCTTGTACAAGATAGTAATACAAACCTTGTTGCTTGTGATGCTTTTGGAAAATTTGAGTTATTAGGTCAATAATCAAGAAGCATTTCTCCATAACACCGAGGCAATAGCTTAGTTGACTTTAGGAGAGGGTCAAAATTTCACCTTTCTCCGGTGATCATGAGTTCAAATTTGATTGCGGTATTCGTTTATGTGACTCAAATATTGCTGGAGGTGTTGAATGCTCAATTTATCTTTGATGGTATTATAGTGATAGACTCTATTCTCCTATGTTAGTAATTATAGTTTAAATTGAACATTTTATAGTTGGTGGGACCTACATCCTAAGGGTTACTTTGTCTAATCACTCCTAACCGCCCTTCACCCGACCAAAAGAAAAAAAAAAAAAAGATGCATTTCTGTTTGTGTTGCTTGTCGTAGTAATTGCTTGAAACCTCCTCATGGGGAGACATGAAAAGATTGAAATAATGAAGTCTTCACAAAAAGTTCCACACTGATAGGGTGACAGAGCAAGCTGAGATGGTGTTTTTGTATCCCTCTTGGTTCGTTACAAGGATCTCAATTTTGTTCTGGTGTATAATTTTGATTAGTTCATAAATCAACATGTTTGGAAAATAATTCAAAAACAAAATAAAGATGAGAAAAAATGTAGAATTTTGATTCAGAAAAGATTCTGAAATAACGATCGAAATATCTTGAAAATAGAATTTTTTAATTTTTTAATTTTTTAATCACTGATAGCTTACTCCCGATCAGTGTTCCAACCCCAACGTTAATAACAATTTTTAAGAAAATGCAAATTTTATAATCTTTACAATCAATTGACAAACAACCCCTAATAATACAGCTCTTGCCACTGGGCTTCTTGTTGCATAAGCCCAAGTCAAGTAGTCAAACTCAATCGTTTAATCTCAGCCGTCGGATCATATTCCATCCCCACCTATAACAACCAAATCAACCTCAGCGCCTTGTCGGTTGCTCCGCTGGATAACGTCGCAAAACGCGCACAACCCACTTGAAGATTGCCTTTTCCATTCCGTATAGAGGAAGAAAGGAAGATTTTTCAGTGAGAGAAAGAATTGGGTATCGGAGGGAGGCAAAGATTGCATAATCGATGGCAGAACACTCCGACGATTTAGACCAACTTCTTGACAGTAAGAACATGCTCTCTCTCTCTCTCTCTCTCTATACATGCGTGTGTGTGTGTATATATATATATATACATGTGTGTGTGTGTGGAAATATAATTCAACCGAGTTGTAAATCAATTGTGTTATAGTAGTTAATTTCAATGATTTCAGGCGCTTTGGATGATTTTCAGACCCTCAACCTCGCTTCTTCTGCCAAAAGGTCGAAATTTTTGTCTCTCTGTGTGAATATCCTCGTTTATGTGTGTATATGTGTTGTTGACAGGGTTTAGCTTTGATTTAAAGCTGAATGAGGAAGTTTTTTTTATTATTTTTTTGATATAGAAGTGGAGATAGGGATGGAAGAAAGCAAGTGAGTTCTTCAATGCCTAGTGGGGTTCAAGGGCTTGGGATGGGTTTGCCTGATCTGAGAAGTAAGAAAAAGGGCAAGCAAAAAGATTCAAAAGAATCCCATGTTTCAGAGGCTCTTGATAAGCTGAGAGAGCAGACTAGAGAGGCTGTTAAAGGGTTAGAGTCGATTACCGGCGAGAAACCCAATGGAGAGAATTTGGGGAATGATGCAATGATGGAGGATTGGGTTAAGCAGTTTGAGGAGCTTGCTGGGTCTCAGGTATATTGCTTCAATTCTCGATATTATGGTTTAGGGTTTTGCTTGATATTTTGGATTTAGTGAATGATCATTTGATTATGTTATTCTTGTTTTTAAATTTTGACTTATTGCTAAAATCTGATCTTGTTTTGTGCTTTTGAGTCAAGAATTTCTGTATGGGGTGCAGTTTCTGATACCATTTCTCAATTGGATCTTTTATGTAACATAGTAGTTAAAAACAAAATGTCCTGTTTAACATATTGGAATGTAATTGGCTCGCTCTTGTGGAAATTTCTGTTGATTGATGAACGCGAAGCTTGTGGTAACTTGCTTGGAGGAAACATGTCGTTTTGATAGATTATCTTTGCATTTGTGCATTAAAAATCTTGTGGCTTCATTTTGAAATGATTAAATTGTTTCCATCATATAAAATGTGTTAAAGTGGTCATTTAAGAGAGTGAGGTGGCTTACAATGCATGCATCAACTGTCATAGCCATGTGCTTTCACAGTTGCAATAATACATAGTAAATGGGAGTTGAAATGATGAACTAGCGGATATAAAAAGCAATATAAACAATTTTTTAATCTTGTATTGTATGTCGCAAATGTAGTGGAATAGGAAGGCTTGTGAATACTTTCAAATGTGCAAAAGCTCAAAATTGTGCTTCTTTAGCTTTGGAAGAGATGACTTTGATGGCAACAAATGATCTCCTATTGCACATCTCCAATAAATACCACTACAGGTTTAGTGGTGCAACTACTCACACCTCCCCAGAAAAGTTGCCCTTCCACCCATCCAATTCTCCATATCATCATGAGGTGGAGACCAAAATCCCAAATGAAGAATAGAGAAGGGACAAAGTTCTCATGCAATTGAGCATGAATTCTGGTGCCCTTTTAAATTCTCTGCACATGCAACACCAATACAAAACTGCACACTTATGATGGTGCTGGCAGGTTTTTGTCTTTTTAGTTGGTCATAATACTCTTTCCTTGCTTCTTATTACTTATGTTCAAAACTATTTGATCATAACCTATTAAAAAATAAGTTTATCACCATTAATGTTTTCTTCTGCAAAGGACATGGAGTCTATTGTGGAGACCATGATGCAGCAGCTTTTGTCCAAAGAAATTCTTCATGAACCTATGAAAGAAATTGGAGAAAGATATCCAAAATGGTTGGAAGACAACAAGGCTAAATTAAGCATTGAAGAATATGAACGTTACTCCCACCAATATGAATTCATAAAAGATCTAAATGAAGTTTACGAAAATGATCCCGGTAACTACAACAAGATTGTTGAGCTCATGCAGAAAATGCAGGACTGTGGCCAACCGCCTAATGAAATTGTGCAAGAGCTTGCTCCTGACTTTGACATATCAAATCTTGGCCAATTGTAAGTGTTCTACTCTATTATTTAGCTCTGTCAAAACAAACAATGGCATGTGTGTTTTTCCACATTCACATAGTTCATATGATAGTGTTTTATGATTTGTTATCTAGGAGTTGTCTTCCTTTTAGTGAGAGACTTGTCCATATCAGTTGTTACTCTTGGATGAAGAGTTGTTGGGATTAGATAGCATTAGGAAAGCAATTTTGGGTCGTTCCTCCTCTAGTGCTAGTTTTGGAGTGGATATTTAGTCTTGATTTTTTTTAAAAAAAAAAAAGAAAGCGTAAGTAGTTGGAGAAGATCTGAATCATTCCAACTACTTTTGTATGGGGTGAAGACATTGATGGTTCAATCATGTTGAGAAAAGATGATATTTGGATCTGAATAAATGGCTGAGAGAAAACCCAAGTCTTTAGATTGGCTGAGACAATTATTCCCCTCATCAATATCATGCCCATATCCTACGGAAGTTGGATTTTTTTTTTCCCTATCTGATATCCTTCCCTTTTACTTGAACATCTACTCGTATTGATTTATTTTGCACAGCATTTTTGTTGCATACCATGCTCGAGTTAGAGCTATGATTATTTGTGTTCCTTGTCATTGTTCATGTTCTTTGTCTTAATGCTATTTCATAATGGGCTTAACTTGTAATTCTTCTCCCTCTTGCAGATCTCCAGAGCTGCTGGATTCTCAACAAAATTGTTGTATAATGTGAAGAGACAGCATCTCTCTATTGTTGCTTGTCTTTCTCGCATTTTTTCATATTTGTTTCATATGATCGTTTCTCAAAAATCTGGGGGAAATAAAAATTGTGTCACTTGAACTATGACAACTTATTACCATTTTTTAATGGGTGATCAGATGCTCACTCCCACAGGCTTTCTTTGGTTAATAGTCTGCATGCACATAATTTGAAATTGCGGAACCAAAGGGTTTCTGGCTGTTTGGAAAATTACAATAGGTATATGCATTTGCTGCTTTTCTCGAAAGGTTGGTGGCGGTGCCACCCCCGTTTAGAAAAACTGAAGGAATCATCTGGTGTTCCTATATTGTGATGTTGCAGTTTAAGGAGCGGTGGCTGTAGGGGGTTCGGGGAGGGGTATGGATGGGGTGCTCTAGCAATAGGTATATGCATTTGCTGCTTTTCTAGGAAGGTTGGTGGCGGTGCCACCCCCTTTTAGAAAAACTGAAGGGATCGTCTGGTGTTCCAATATTGTGATGTCATTTCAATGAAGCATGCATGAAAATGTTACTCAATTTTGTTAGTTGTTTTAATTCTTTGGTTCGAAAAAGTATTGTTTAGTGGGCTGGCTTGCCTGGCCTTGACCCAGACTAGGGGCCCAAGGGCTGACCTTAGGTTAGCTACATATGGCCCGTGTTGGGCCATTGAATCTTCTCCCATGTTTTACACAAACCAAACGCCCTTAATATCCGTTTGTGTTTATAAACGCAAAATCTTAGCACGAGAGTAGAAACTTAAGATATCCAAAAACGACTTGTTTGGTTTGCATTTTAAAAATTATTTTTTTTTGTTTTTGAAAACTGTTTTTCTCTCTTTGACCAATTGTTTTTTGTTTTTGTTTTTTAAAAACCGATAACAAAAAGTGGGTAGATTTAGAAAATAAATTAAAATTATTTTTTGCATTTTTAGAAATAACTTTTTCAAAATTTAAAAACACCAACACCACCACAACCATCACAACATTTATACTTTTATTATTTTTTGAGTTACTGTTTAAACAAGTTTTACTGTTTTCTATTCTGTAAAATTATTTTTAAAATTATATAACCACACAAAATTTTGTAACACAAAAAATATCAAAATACACTTTTCTAAACCCGCAACACTTTAAGTCTAAGGGCCGGGTGGTTGGCCGTTAGGCCATTTCTGAATCCTCAATATTTTTTAGTGAAAATTGAAAGTGAGTCTCTTTAGATGTACTTGTTTGGAGATAAGTCTTGCAAATAAATTTATTTAGTTATAAGTCTACTTTTTGTCAAGATTACTATTAAACCCTTATTTTTTGTCAAACATCAAACGGCATCAAAGAAGCCGTTTCTAAGGGAGACGGAGAACCCCTCAATTCTCGGCACTCAAAAACCGAAACTTCCCCCATTCATTATATCCTACAATTCTGGCAGAAAATCATCAAATCTCTTTGTGTTCCTTCCTGCGAAAAGCCCTAATCGTCCTTACCCATACTGTCTCAATTCAAAATTCAAAGAGATTGGTCCCCCACCCCTTTTGACATTTGGATTTGCACCTATGTTGTCAAAATTGTCATCCACATCCTCAGGTTTTTCTTGGTCAATATTCATGGTAGGGGCCAAGTTTTGTCTAACAAGTCAGTTTCGGTTGTTTTGCCTCCACATAAAAAAAAATATATAGAGACAAAATTATACACAAATAAGATTATGTACACGGAACAACGTACCTCAGCCCATGATGAAGATCATGGGACTTACCTCCGTCATCCAAAAATCACCTTCTTGGTTTGACACTTGCCTTCCCCGACAACGACGCCAAAAAATGCTTGACAAAATTCTTTGTTATTTCCTAACCTCAGAAAATAAGAGCAAAAATAACTTTACTCTTCAAGTTCCATTGCCGAAGTTACATAAGGGAGATTTTTCGGCATTCAAAACATCTTCACCAACATTGGGATTCTTAAAAATCTGAAAGGTATGTGGTTTTACATGTTATTTGATGTATGTTTTAGGGTTTGATAGCAACATTTACAAATGTATATCGTTCAACTTGTCAACCAAATTTTTTTTTTTCACAATATAAGTGTGATTCCTTGATTAGTATTTTGATTTTGATTTTATTTTTGGATCTGTAGTACATTCGAAAATTGTTTGTGCTATTTTGTGTGGAAACTTTTATGTTACCGTGAGAGTACTTTCAAAAAATGTATCTCATAATGTTGATTTTTTTAATGTTCTTGTTTTGTGTTGAGTGTCCTAATTCAACCATTGACAGTGTGTTATTGTTAGGAAATTTTTAAAATTTTAAATTTTTGAATTTTTTTTTTACTTTAAATTTTCAATTGATGTTACTGTGAACACAATATGGCATGGTGGGTGCTAATGTTCATGTTACTGTTACTAAATTAATGTTTTATTTAGTTACATGTGAACATTTTTTGTTGTTGTTTGTTTTGTTCAATACATTCGAAACTCATTGGTTCAAAGTAACATTAAAATGATCATGTTACTGTGTAATAACTAACAAATTCATTTCATATTTCCATCGTATGGATGTGTTTGGGTACTTTAGATGTTACTGTGAAGATGTTACTGAAGATATCTTACTGATCCAAACCTTTTTGATTTTTATTTTACTGCACCATGTGTTGTTTACCAAAAGTTCATGGGTTGATGTTTGATTTTAAATGTAAATTGGGAGAGAACAAATTTTATTCAACTCATTAAAAATAATTTTATTGAATAACAGATATCAAAAAGGTCATGTTGCTGGACTTTAAAATTGTGTTTGTCTGATGTTATTCAAGATGATGTTATTGTGATTTAGTTAATAATTTAATGTTCCTAACCTGATGTTACTATGTTTACATTATGTAATTTGGTGGAACTGTTCATGGATAGGAAATATAAGAGAAGTTAAAACCAGCACAACTTAACGCTTTACAGATACATATGGTGACTACATTCATAAATCATAGGAATGCATAAACTGTTGAAGATTACAAGACAATATCAAGATTAAAAAAAATACAAAAAAAATCAGAATTGGTGATGTTGTAAAGCTATTCATTATTTATCTAATTATAAGTTCGGTTAAAAGTTGGTTGTAATTGTTTACAATTTGGTACTTGGTTTAAATGGACAATTCAAACATGTAGAATTGTGGTTGAGATGTTACATCTTGATATTAAATTGATATGTTGATGTAGGTTTGAAAATTTGTTTATAATGGAATGTTTGGTAAACAAAGGAAACTTTGTTCAATTTGTAAGTCCAATAATAACTCAAATAGTAACATGTGAAAAAATCTCCCAAGTAATATAATCATTCAATTTTAGAATGCTGGAATTGCTGAAATTGTGTTGTATGTGGAATTAATATGTTAAAATCAATGAATTTGTAATATTGTTGCACGATTGGTTACTGTTTGTAATGATCATCAAATAATAACCTTGGCAGTAACAACATTAGTAGCACAATGTGTCCAATTGACAGTAACATGGATCATATGTTGTCCATGCGAGAAGAATGCTACATTATTTACTTATCACACTGAATAACCCATTATATTCCCAAAGTGTAACATTATAAACTTGGAAACTGAATGAAAATTAGCATATAATTTGAATTTGAATTGATAAGGTAATCTTGTGATCTGAATTAATTAGTCAATCAAGAAATCTTGAAAAGGAAATCTTGTTGTCCAATTATACACATTCCATATATTCTTCAGTTAATTATCAGTATTTTTAATAAAAAATGATTTCCATATATAACTCAAACTAAGATTTCCATATATATCTTAATGATCTAACTTATTTAATTTTTCATAATTGACAAAAACTAACATCGTTAGGGGTAATATTGAGATTTAAAAAAACAGTGGACTTAATAACCAATAGATAAGTTTAAAAATGAACTTAGCCACCCATAAGTTTCCTTATCGAACTTATCTCCGCACAAGTCCATCTAGGGGACCGGCCTTAAAATTTTCCAATTTTTTTATGTATAAATGCTGGTGTTCCGCAACGGGAGTAGTATCGGGCCAATATTTTGGTCCAGCCTCTGCCAACGGACCAAAGTAGAGCCCAGCCCCTATTTTTTTTTTCCAGGCCGGTTCACAATTTGCCAATAATTACCAATTTACCACGCTCCTGTGAAACCTTAGTAACAATAAAGGGTTAATGACACTTTATATCCCAAAAAAATTTCCCATTCTCAATTTACACCATAAACAAATTTCGTCTTGCACCCTTAACCAGGCAAATAGGTAGCAATATGCTCATTTTAAAAAAAACAAAAAACTGAATATCAAATTTCTATTGAAAACACTTAAAGATAGATATTTGGTCTATTTGGAGTTGACTTTTTTTTTTTTAATACAAAATAAAAGTTTGAAAAGTGAAATGAAAATATGAACGGTTTAAAAAACTTTTGAAACCATTTAGAGGATTTTCAAAAAAATCGACTTTTCCTTGAAAGTTTTATTTTCATCTTTTTCTTAGTACCAATAAAAATTATTTTTGCTCGAAAAACTTATGAAAAAGCCACCCAACAAGCCTGAGTCCAAACATACAAGAGGTCTAGGTTCATTATGTACAACATTGTATATATAAATTAGATAATATGCCAATTATAACAAAAAAAATAACAAATTTTTATTTTTAGACTACATTATTATATTTTTATCTAATTGAGAGTATAATATAAAAATTTTTATATTTTAAAATATAAATTAAAAAAATTGAAAAAAATTTAAGGTAGAAATGTCATTCATCCAACAGTAAACACATATACCAGCCAAAAGCAAAACAAGAAAACCCAAAAACCCTTAGAAACCCAGAACAGCGTCAACTCCAAAGATTGACAATCTCCGAGACCCCCAAAAGAAGAAAAAAGAATCACCCTTTTCTTCTCACTGTAGTAACCCTGAAACCCATTCTCTTTTCTGTCATTATTCCTCTGCCATAACAATGAAAGAAGCAGAAAATGGACCGCCGAATAGAGAACTCTATGCTTTGCTTCACATATCTCCACAAGCCTCAGACGAAGAAATCCGAAAAGCTTATCGTCAATGGGCTCAAGTCTATCACCCCGATAAATACCAAGCTCCCCAGGCACTCCCTTCTTCTCTCTCTCTCTCTATCTATCTATGTCTTTCTCTGAAAAGTGTGTGTATTTTGAACTTTACTTTATTGTTCTTTATATCGATGGAATGCTGGTGATTGGTTCTGGGTATGACTGTTTGAATTGATGCCTCATATTGCTTAAAAGGATTGTTGATGTGTATGCTTTAGTGGTTGCCGGGTACAAGTGTTGGGATTGGCGGGTTAAATTTTTTTTTTTTTTTTGTGTGTTATACTTTGTTTTGAAAGGGCCTACCTGTGGTGTGCGTTTCTGTTCAAGTTGATTTGGATGGTGATTTACTTCATTTACATTGTGAGAGAATTGTCTTTGTGTTGTATCGGATATTTCAGTTTTTTTTTTTTGCTGGGCAAGACTGCAATTTTGTTGAAGTTCAAAACTTGTTCTTACCACTGAAATTGGTGTGGGGCTATTTTGAGTTTGGTGAATTATGTTTAGTTATTAATTTATGACCAATGGTATAAGGACCTAATTTGAGAATCTAATCGTGGCCTAATTCAATACAACCATTGGATTACTTGTGAGTTAAACACATACTAAGACTCAATTTAACATTAAACTTGATCATATGCAGTCTCAAGCAGCTCTAGGTGCAATTACTTGTTTGCTCTAATTTTTTTCATGTGCTAGATCAACTGGGTATTCCCATGGAGCATTTATTGGTTGCCATGATCAAGAAGTGTATTGCATAGTTGATATGTTTGTAGTTCTCCAATTGCGTCACATTGCGAAAGTTTCCTTGTATAAAATGATTTATGTTGCTATGTCTTCCATTTTTGGGGCCAAGAATTTAGTCCCATAGGTTCAATTTTGATTCTTGATTTTTTAGCAAAAAAACGAAACTAATAAACTAATATTTTGTTGTACACTTCTGGTTTCAGATGAAGGAAATTGCTACAAAAAACTTTCAACGGATATGTGAAGCCTATGAAATTTTATGTGATGAGACTAAAAGGCAGATATATGACATTTATGGTATGGAAGGGTTAACTTCAGGTTTGGAACTTGGTCCAAAACTGAATAAAGTGGAAGAGATTAAGGAAGAACTTGAAAGACTGCGGCGTCAGAAGGAACAAGAGAAGGTGTCAGCCCATGTCCGACCTTCTAGTTCAATTCTGGCAAATTTGTCGCTGCCACGGTTTCTAGATGGTGAAGGCATCATGAAAGGGTACATTTTTCTTATTCTTGTTTGCTCATTCTGGCCTCTCATATGACATAACATGATATTTAGGTTTCAAAAACTTTGGAAGTGTCCTTTATCCCCATGGATTTAGAAGGGACATTGTGCCTCTACACTGGCGTAGCTTAGTGTGAGGCTCAAACTGAAAAATACTGTACTCCGATCAAGTGCTTATGCATTTTTCTCCTATCAAGTTCCAATCTGACAAGTGTTGCACCTCATTCTGTGGTTGAATAATTTTTTTTCTCAGTGGTCAAACAATTATCCTCGTCATACCTCCAACCCAAAATACTCTCAATTTCACTACAACTTCCCCTCACTTCTTGTTAGTAGTTTTGTTTCATGTATATATATATGTCTGTGAAGCAACCCCACTTCTTTTTCACTTTTTATTGGCGTCAGTGTCCATATTTATCTCTGGTTGGTGTTGCTTGTGTCTTTGCCCACTTCATGAATTTCGTTTTGGTTCCTATATCTCTCTAAATTCTGAAAATATTATAAGGCCTGTATGTCATTTTAACAGAGCGGGGTGACACTGCTGTCTTAAATTGCACAAATTTGATGATGTTTATAATCTGCAAAATTCCGCATTTCTTTTCATGTAATTGTAAACACGTTTTGAAATGCGTTGAGCTTGTCTTTCAATTTTTTCCCTGGATTTCCTGCAAAAAAACATGTTTCATTCATATTTATGGATTGTGTAGCTAGAGATTGCTTCAATTCATGCGTCTGTTGTTTCATCAGCATGGGTATGACAAGTGAAGTTCAATGTCAAATCTCGAAACGTAATGCTATTGCTGTTGGCGGGAATCTGGCAGTTACTGGGAATGCAGGTGGTGGTGCTGCCTCTGTTGTCCTTAGGCATCAGATATCTTCTGCTTCTTCCATAGAATTCATGTGCTCTGCTGGTCTACGGGCGCTAATTGGGGTGCAAACATCATGGTAAGATAATTTCTGTTATTTCGTTTGGAATTTTTTAGCTGACCAGTAGATTAGTTTCACTTCAACTCTTCTTTGTCTCTTTGTCTAGCCAACTGTCCCCTCACTCAACTGCAACAATGGGCATTGCTATGTCTTTAAGAGATGGCTCAGTCAATCTTTCTAATGTTTGGACTCGTCAACTCTCCGAGACAGCAAATGGAAATGTAAGCTTCTCTATGTCAATAGAAATCTCATTGCGAACCTGCAAGTACTAATAACTTTAATGCAGTAATGGAACTTAAAGGCTTTCTTGAATCTCTTTATGAATTAGGTTTGTTAACTATGTATTTTATGAACTTAATTTGTTTTCTTGATGATAAAAGTTTTCTTTTAGTGACTTTGGCTTGCTGAGTTAAATAAACATTCAGAAGGAAGAAAAATCAGCTATTCAAAGCATGATGGAAGTTGGAAAAAGCGGAAAAATATGAAATATTTTGAGGTTATAAGTGAATCAGCTTTCTCTGCTGCTATTATTTTTGCATTATATCTGATTTATTGTCTTTCCCCCCTTCCAGATACAACTTGTTTTAGGTTCGGAATCATCTGTAGCTGTTGGATGGCAAAAGAAAGAGCAGAAAATGTCTGCTGCTGGAGAGATTAAGGTATAATAAAGTTTTTATTTTTCTGAATACATATTTTCCTTGAAATGGTTATCTTTTCGTCACCTCTAAATGGAAGTATATCGAGGAAGGTGCAATTACATTAAGTTTCCCACTTGATAAGTAGTTTGAGGTTCTGATGCATAATGTTTTTGAAATTACATTTAGCTTCTGTAGTGAAGTAACAGAGAATTTCTATGAACTGGCACATTTGGACATTTTTCTAGATGTCAACAAAAATTACAGGTGACAAGGGAATTGTTATTGACATAAGATAATGCTTAACTAGATACCGATACTGAAATCATGCAATAGTACATTAAGTGGTAATTGGACATTGAGGTTTGAGAAATTGTAAGAAGGGGGGGGGGGTATTGAAGTGTATTTCATGTAAACCTCCATGTTATTCAGTGTCATTGCATTGAAAATTGCTTGACACCCTTGGACAACTTAGTTGAGAGCTTGCAACTGCTTGATTGGTCCATGACTTGGCAGAAGGCTGTTAGTCTAAAATATTAATTGCAGAAACATAAATTCCTTTCAGTGCAGGGATCGGAGAGCTTGACGTATTGGCCATAGGCCGCCTAATTAGTGGACATTCAGATGTCATTTATCGGGCTTAGCAAGGGCAGTTCATGTAGCAGATGCTGTTAGTTTTGGAAATGAAAAGGGAGAGCACTTCGCTAACATATTTGTTTTGGATTCATTTCCGTATGCATACTAGTTGAACTTAACTATGACTGCCTATGTCATTTGGTCACTTCCTACTTGCTTGCTTCAAAGTCCAACTCCAACCCCTATAACCTCCTGAATGCGAGTAGTTCACCACTCCAACTTTTACCCTGTATTGGGCTCGAAGGATATCAGCTCACTTATCTGATCTCTTTGTCACTAAGTTTCTGGTATTATTGCCTTCATAATCATTTAGGCTGGAAATTAAGGTAAAGATATATGCTGAAAATTTGTTTTTTTTTTCCCTTTGTTCCTGTCTACTTTAAAGCAGTGGCTTAAAACTTATTTTTCTTGAGATTAGTTTTCCTCACTGAGGTATATCTTAAGCTTTCCACTCTTTAAAAATAATCCACTTATTTTTCCCATTGTCTTTCGTATTGAATCTATTAGCAGCCTTCGGACTATTCAAAATATTTTATCCCGTTATCTTGACAGTCTTTTATCATCACATTCTACCTAATGTAGATTGGCACAAGCTCCTTTGGTGCATCAGCTCATTATACTCACCGCTTCTCCTCAAAATCTCATGGGCGTATTGCAGGCAAAGTGGGAAGGTAGGTCTATTTTATATTTTGTTTTGACATTGATTCTGTGAATATTTTTCTGCTTCTAAGGTGTTGAGACTTGATGCGTCTATGTTTGTTTAAGATTGAGTGATAGAGAGACCATCAGTTTGCAAGAATTCATTTAAGTTTTAAGTTAGATTGGAATTTTTCTAGATTTTATAAGTGGGAGAAAATTCTAATGGTAAGTGCGATGACTCTTATTTTATTCTTATTGGGCTGTGTTTTCAAGGAAACCTCTTCTACTGCAAGCTGCCATCTCTGCTTATGCTTTTCTTTCTTTCTTTTTTTGGTAGTATATTATCTCAATTGTAAATGAAATAGTGTTTGCAAAAGCACTATATGAAAATATGGTTATGAAAAGATGTGACAGTAAGAAATATTTGGCTTACATGACGGTAACTGGATGCATCAAATTATTGTTAGCCTCATTTGTTTGTCTACGTCTTGGGGATGAGATCTCCCTGTTTAACTCCAATGAGAGCTAATGTGGCATCACGTACTTATGTGCAGCCGTTAACTATATATTGGAAATCATGTTTGCCTTTTGTGGGGGGCTTATCGTGGAGCAGGGGAGGTATAAAGAGTAAAAAGACCAAGATCAACTTCTCCAGTCAGAGTGGATCCCTTAATCAGAACATTGTTGTCAAAAATATTCCTTGAATATAAATTCCTCAAAACCTACCATACATTTTGGATCAGAAAAATGTAGTTTGTTCATAGCATTTTATGCATGGGTATTGCTTGCAGTTCCTTGAGGATGCTATTGTTCTGTGATTGGTAGAAATGTGTTGAAGAGCCAATATATTCTTGTTAAGCCTTTGCTGTTGTAGTATTTTGTTACTTCATGGAGTTTCCCAATACGAACTATAAAGACAACTTAATATGCTACCAAATGTTTTATCCCTTGTCATCCTATGTAATTATTTTCTTTGTTCGAGTCAGACTATTCTATTATGATATCATACATCATATTCTGCAGTGCTGCTCTTGAATTTGAAGTAGGGGGTGGACGGAAAGTATCTGATTTCAGCACTGTCCGCATGATGTATTCAATAGGAATTCAGGTATGAGCTGCTATGTGTGAATATTCTAAAACAATTTTTGTCTTCATTGTTTTGTTTTACGCTATTTTGCTTCTACATTAAATTCCTGGTTTACAAGAAACTGGAGAGGCTATTTTTGACATCTCTGTGGTAGCATAGATGTCTATTGCAATATTTTTGAAGTATCATTGCTTAAATTTATCCTAGTTTTCCACTCCGTGACTCTTCTTTCCAATATCAGGTTTGGGGTGGAGGGTTGGGGAGGAGGAAACATGGATCTAATGCATGTTATTGTTTGATGTTTGCGCGAATGCATGTTATTTATGTGTTGAGTTCAGTTTTTGGCTAGTTTTAAAGTTATAGGCGTTGATTTTTCTTTGAGTGTAGTGTGTAACACCTCTTGTTTGTCCTTGTTATCGGTAGGGTATTTTCTGGAGATTTGAATTGCATCGTGGAGGCCAAAAGTTGATCGTTCCTGTAAGTGCAATATCAGCATCTCTCTCTTATCAGCAGCATAAATGAGGTTCATGCCAAGTTTGAGGAGCAAATTTGAATGTTTGCCCTTTATTTCACCTTTTCCAAAAAGTATATGTGTCTAGTTCTTTTGGATATCTACTTTTCATTAAGATCCATCCTTTTGGAGTTCTTCTATCAATTCAGTTGCTTTTTTTTTGGAATTGTTTCCGTATAATGTGTGGTCTCTCCTTAAATGTGATCTTCTTATAATCTCTTTAAAAATTCAGAGCAAATAAAGTTCCCTCAAGAGAAACACTCTGGACGCTTGTATATCTTTTTGGCAATATATTATCCCTCAAGAAAATGGCTACTGATTGATATGTCTACGTAATGAAGCATTGATCATGACATCCATCTAGTATCTTGTTGCTTCTGCTTTGAAGAGTCTCTGTATCTATGACAAACTCATATAAAACAAGATGCAGTGAAAAGGGTGACATTTGTTGCTTCTGTTCCTTTTATAAGCACTTGTATAGTCTACACAGTTTGCCTGATAACTATGTTATCACTTTGTATTACTTGTCACAACATGTAAACAAACTCTGTTCTGTCAATATCTTTCTACTTTTGATATTTTGATATGTTGCTAATGAGGTGTCGCATGCAGATTCTTCTTTCCAGGCATTTGAACCCTGTATTTGCGACTGGAGCATTCGTTATTCCTACATCACTTTATTTTGTGCTCAAGGTATTCGGCAGATTTCAAACTCATACAGCTTTTTAATCTGTCGAATGATTTCAACAATTGATTACACTGAATTTTAGGTCCTTGTCAAAGTCAAACAACTCAGAACTATCACAAGGATGTTTGATCAAAGGATATTCTCCTTTTTTTGTTTTTTGGAAGAAAGGGGTGGAGGCAAAGGAGAGCGTCAAAAAATCACCCCGATAAGCCCTCACTGGTGGGATCATGAGGTCCTTAACTTCGTCCGTTACTCCTCTCAAAAACGAATATAGCTAGGCTAGCATAGCAATTAATCACTGAACCCCAATGTGAACTCCATGACCCGAACCTCCAACTGGTGAGAAGTTCAGTTAGGGGTACAACTTTGGCGGGCTAACCCTAATTCAACTCGAGCCCAACCCAAAAAAAATGTTTGGGTTAGAATTTTTAATATTTGGGTTGGGCATAAGCAAAAAAAACCTCAACCCGAATTGAATTTGGGTAATCCTCGAGTTGAGGCCTTGAGTTGTCGGGTTCAACCCGAATATTAAAATCGGGTTGAACTCGAATATACATAAATTGATAAATATAATTAACTAGGGTTAGTATTTATCCTCACTCTTCAGAGTTCAAACTTTCACTTCACTTCAAGTCTGCACCTCCATCACTCTCAGATTTCTCTCTCACTCGTTTCTCATCTGGTTTCAGACTCTTAGTCTTTCTCTCTCACTCGTCTAAGTCTCGTTTCAAACTTTCAGCCCCTCTCTCTCACTTGTCACTCCTCTCTCTTTTATCAATCTGAATTAAGGAACCCGAGCCCAACCCGGTTTTTAACCCGAAATTTGTTCAAATTAAGTAACTCGAATTCAACTCGAGCCCGCCCGAATTAAACTCAGGCAATACTTGGGTTGAGTACCTCAGTTTGAGGTCAGGTCGGGTTAGGGTTAGGGTTGAAGATTATATACCTAGGGTTGGGCTAGAGTTGACCTCTAAATCCGCCCGAATTGCACCTCTAAGTTCAGTCGATACCCCACTCGGTGTCAAAAGATATTATCTTTACTGCTTCCAGTAAAAAATGGGTCCAGTTGTAAAACATCACATATGTCAGCATAAAATATCCTTTTTTCACATATGTCAGCATATTATGCTTTATCACAATTTGAAAAATATGTTTCGCATGCTCATATTGATAGAGGTTTTGAAATTTTGATTTGCTTTTTCACATGGTACATTATGTTGGAGATTCCACTATTCTTTCATGCTTCCAATAAGCATTTTTCCATTGAAGAAACCGAATTTAGTAACAGAGGATTGTATGTCCAAGCTCTCGGGATTTGAAGGGTCAATAATACTATCATTAAATGGTTTTTGAGGGTACGTATCACAGTTTTTCTGATAGTCTTACCAGTCCAAAGATTCAGAAAAATCACTAGGGAGAATTTTAACATTTTTTTTGTAGCAAATGTTAACTCGTATCATCTCTATAGCCCTATAGGGCTGGTTCAGGAGCCATATGATAGGGGCCTTGGGTGCTGCTAGACATTCCTGTGTCTGATTCTAGTATAGATTACAAGCAAAGTGCTTGAGCTATCTTTAATAGTACCATTTGCAAATGCTTTGAAGTTAAAGCCTAGTGATGGGCATTAGTATTTCTCTGCTGAGTGCTTTGACTGACTATATTTTGGTACCCAGTACAAAATTCACATAGTATGAGTTGTGATTGGTGTCTAAGTTGTTTATTTATTTACTTTGAAAAGACAAATCCCAATTTTGATTGATTTTATGCCTTTTTGGGTACTTGCAGACATTCGTTGTCAAACCATATTACCTTAAACGGGAAAAGCGGAAAGCATTGAAGAATAGAGCAGAAACTGTGGCTCAGGTTTATAACATACACATGCTTCTTTGTTTTTGATTTATGTGCCTCTAGTTCTTTCCTTTTCTTCTCTTTGTTTTTTTGATATGGTCACGGAACTTGATATCATGCTCATGTTTGGTATTCCGGATTCTTGATTTTTGTATCTATATACTTCAATTAATATGAAGTGTGTAAGCCTCTATGCATTGCTAGAGTTACAATCAGGCATACTGCGTTTGTGGATGCGCTTATGTATTATGATGTACTTATAATTGAAATTGGTCATAGCAGATGTATTATGTTATATATCTTTTCCTTGCATATGTAAAGATATTTCGTACTTAACTCCAAGTAGAAGGATGAAGCTTTTTCAGGCCAATTTATACATAAATGCTTTCAACTTCTAAGCCAAATTGTTCAGTCATAATAGTAATATAATTCATAGTTGAGAATTGAGAAGTTTGAACTTACCAGAGCAGTATTTAACCTTTTGGCAAAACTTTATGATAGTAGAGCCTCTGAAATTGCAATCTATTCTGAAAAGAAATGACGACCATCAGAGCTGAATAGGAAGAAGGATTTACTTAGTTTTTTCACTTATTCGTCTCCAAGTCTTGGTGACAAAGGCTTTGTTGGGGTAAGTTGAATTGCTTCTGTGTGATATTACCTTGACTGTGGTACTTTTTTTGAGATACTAACGATGGTCCAAACCTGAGTTACCCTTACTTGAGTGAAACGAATTTGTGTATTTTCTGAAAAGCATTAAACAAGGTGTTCCTTGGAGCTTGTCTCTGATCTAAGATGCCTACCTTTTTTATTGACCGGTTGAACCACATTCTCTCCTCTTTTGATAATATAATAGACTCGGTCTCTGTCGAGGTCCTCACTGTAACATGGTTATCAGCCTTCAAAAGCCAAATTCTTAAGAGTCATTGGTTGACATCCCTGGTACCATAGTCATTGAACCATAATTGAAAACTGTGGCCTCAGCCAACCATTCAATACCTTTGGGGATGTCATATCCAGGTGTTTGCTGTATGTGTACTCCAAAAACATAGAAATGATCAGGTGACATGGCAAGCAAGCGACTGTTTTCTGCTTTTGACTATTGAATGCTGAGGCAGCTACCTGCCTTGCTCGCAGTATCCCCTGTATTTAGTACATTACTAGTTTATGGTTCTCATAGTGTGCCAATCCTGATAAACTTGGTTAACAGCCAGCATTCAAGTAACCCTTATGGGCCAATTTATGTGGTGTTTAGTTTTGTTATTGCCTGAGTAGCTTCAGATACTTTTTCTTGCCCTTAGTTATGCATATTACTATGTTAATTTAAGATTAGGTCTACCTTGATCTATTATTTTTTATTTGATTATTTTAATTGCTGATTGAGTGTCTGACATGTCTGTCTCCTACTGGCTCAGTTGTGGTTGCTTTTAGACTGGTTAATTGTTTCCTTATTTCCATTCAAGAATACTAAGGCTTTCTTTCTTAATATTGCTTCATAGGTTCAAGAGGCGAGGGCAGCAGCTGAAAAAGCTCAGCAGTTACTACAAAATGTGGCCAATAGGAAAAGGAGCAGGCAACTAGAAACAGGTGGACTGGTTATCACAAAAGCTGTATATGGAAATCGTAAATCTTTGAAGAATAAAGATAATTCAGAAGAAACAAAAGATGAAGTGGCTTCACAGACCATGGATGCCACTTTACCCCTAAATTTTCTGGTTAATGATTCTGGGCAACTTAAGGTAGGTTTCTTCCCTATCATTTTCTGAGATTTTTCTTGAATGGGTTGTGTGTGGCTCTAATAAGGTTCCTGATCTGGTACCTATCAATGCAGAAATTGAAATTATCTGATGAACAATGAATGAATGTGCTTTAAATATTAAAAAAAAAGAAAAGTGCTTTAAATATCATAAATTTATGCTTTGGTTGTGTTTATCTTTTATATTACATCATATGTATCACTGCTTGAGAATATGTATTTTTCTACATCAAGAAATGGCCTTGTGATTCACATAGAAGTATGTAAGAACAGAACTGTGGGATTTAGGTGGGGAGCTATAAAAGCGGTGGGATTGAGCATGCTATGGTCTATGATTGTGTGAGAGTGTGTTCGGACCTGCATATTCCCTGGCCTCCTCCATAGGAAGTATATTTACTCATTTCTTTTGTAAGATTATAGAGGATTTAAAAATTCTGTTTCATGGAGTTCAAATCTATTCAAAATAAACACCTTTTTTTGGTAAATCCTGGTTTGGGAATTATTTGATAGTTGACCGGTGCTTATGAAAGAAAAGTTCTTCAATAGTTGGAAGGAATTTCTAGATTGCAGTGAATAGAATATCCATTGCAAGGTGAAAATCATCTGATGTTGATGTGACTATCATATCCCAAACAAACTCGTTAGTGAAACCAGTATTATAGACCAAAGTTAGCTGGGTGGAAGAGGCAGTAGAGGGTGGAAACTTAATCTCATTAGAAGTTCTGTATTAGTCTCCCCATATGTCTCTGTTCATGATCCTGATGACTGGAGAAATGACTAGTAGGCTTGGAGTATTATGGAAGAATTTGGAGCATTGGCTGGATTCTTTGGTTTTTTTGGTCGGGTGTGAAGCAAGGATGGTGGTGCTCAAGGCTGATTTTTTGAACCTCTTGGACATTGCAAATGGGTAAGGTCAATCTGGTAAGCTTTTAGATTAGAGAGAGCTATAAGGAGGGGTGTCAATGATGGCACTGATGGAGAGATCATAGAATACGACGGCGTTTGAAAGGGACCAAAGATGTTTTCATTTAGATGCAAGTCCTTTTATGTCCAAATCTGTGGAGGGGAGGGTCTTCTTTCCTATGAAAGGCAATATAGCTTACTAGTGCACTTAAGAAGATGGAATTCTTTGTTTGTAGTTCAGAGAGGAGCTGAGAAGCTAAATTGAAGGGTTATAGCTTGACACACTGGGCTAAGCTCTGCTTTACCTGGTGACTCATCAATTGGGTTTAGGTAAGCATTGATTGAATGCTAGAGTAGAGAATTGGGGTGTAAGAGGGAGAGCAAGAGCGAGGAGATGTGGGAGATAGGCCACCCGCATAAATAGAGGAGAAGCTTCTGAAGGGGGTAAAACTGCCCGCCCATTCACTGGACCAAAAGCTTCACTATTTTTTTTATTTTTTCTCATAATTAGTGCAATGGGGTTTAGCTGATTTTCTTGGAGTTGGGTACCAAGTACCAACATGTGGATAGATAGCTTCTGCTTGTATGCATTGTGTGCAAAAGGATTGCCACCCCCTTTCTTGGCCTCGTATTGTGAATGATGTTTACATATCATTGTAAATTTCCTCTATAATCTGGAAGAGGTTTTAGGCTCCTTGGTCCTTGAACTTTCTAATTAGGCGAAGTATCCAAAAATAGGAGACCAGATTCTGATGAAAGAAGAATATGCTTTTGACTGCACAATAATCACAATTTTGAGCCCCTGGACTTGTATTCTTCTTAATATTGCCTGAAGTTGAACCTGTAGACCACACCAAACTGCTGGTGTTTCTGATGCCAGTATGCCTGTCAACTGGAATATTTACTTCAGTTTTCTAACGACGTTTGTATTTTATAGATTTGATATGTTTTAGTTGTCTTTCAATAACGTTTGTGCAGCTTCACGAGGGGGTAAAGAAGTCGGGCATCATGGGTTTTTGTGACCCCTGTCCAGGAGAACCTAAGCAGTTACTAGTAGAGTACACTTACGGTGGCAACAAATATGAGGTATCCATTTGTCTCCTTTTCCATCTTGTTACACATGGGCTAATCTTGATCGATAACTAAAGGGTGCTCAACTGTATATCAAAAACAGGTGGTTGTTGATGATTATGAAGCACTGCTCATACCTCAGGAAGGACACACAGTCTGAATTCCATTCAAGGTACTGAAACAGATTTCTTGTGCCCCCAACACAAAAGAAAATGAAAATATGATGGAAATGAAAAACGGAGAGAAAGAATGAAAGAAATAAAAAACGAAAGAGATAGAACCGTGGTAACCTTTTTGCAATTTTGCATGCATTTGACATGCCCCTGGGTGCCTTCGACTTGATCACCCTGTCTTGTTTTTGTTTTCTTTCTTTTTTTTCTCCCCATAAAAATTGTACCTAAGAACTGCATTGGAGAGCAACTTGTTTTGTATTGTGTAATTGATTTTGATAGTGATGAATTGAAGGCAACCTGATTCTTTGTCAAGAACCATGAACTACTTTCTCATTGGGGCAGTTAATTTCAATTTTGTTGCCTGTGGTTTGCACATGAAGATTTTAACACTCAGGTGCATATATGCAATCATATCCATTTTTTGTCATAGGGACGAGATTTAAAATCAGACGTTTTGAGTTTTAATTTTTGCAACCCTTTTAGGTTAGGCCATGAGAAATTTATCCCTCACGAATACTCTAACTCTCGGTATGGACTGTCTGTATTTGACCGGATCGAACAAGGGATTATTTGAGATATGCGTAAATTAATCCGGACGATCCTTTCAATCAATGTGACTGCTTGGCCATTTTGGAATCAAAGACAACATTTATCATGCACTCTTTCGTTAATGGAGGCCGGAATTTGAGCATCATCATACTGTGTCACCAAGTCAGTGCTGAAAATGTATGTGCATAATGGTTTGCTTTGATGTAGATGTGCTTAAAACCGGTAATGAGAGGAAGGAGGGCATGTTGTCGCAGTTATGATCAAGGAAAATGTTAAATAGACTTAAAAAATTATTCTAAAAATTTAATTTGATGAATCATTACCATTGAATAGATAATGATTCTTAATAAATATTAAAACCTATATTTAAATCAATGACTAAAATAACAGTCATATTAGCAAGTCATATCTTTAATTCAAATTTTTAAGTTTGTGTATCAGTGTTCTATGGTGAACCTTGGCAAAATGAGGAATATAATCCGATTTGTTAACACGAGACAAACATAGTAAAAAATTAAAAGATTTGAGTCTTCTGTCAGTCATTCGTTTTAACTCGGTGAATTTGACATGACACGATCAATAAATTAATCAAGTATAGGTGAAATCAATAAAAAAAAAAACTTACAATACGATTCGTTTATATATTAATTATATACAAATATAATATAACATATAATAAACGAATCAAATATGAATGAAGTACTTTTTTGACAAACTAAAATTCAACACGAATCTATCACATTCGACACGATTGATAGGCTAATACAATATAACATATAATAAACGAATCGAATATAAATGAAGTACTTTTTTGACATAAACTCACTAAAATTCAACACGAATCTATCACATTCGACACGATTGATAGGCTAAAACACAATGGAGGTCATCAACAAAGCAAAAAATAAGATGAGCGAGTTCAACGTACATTCTGCAGAGCTCCGGGGTCCAGATTCAAGTATCATGGAACTTGGATATGCTAAATTATGCATGCAATTCATCCCAGAAGATAAACGTCCCATTAATTCATGCAACAAAGAGGGTGCTATGGCTTTGAAAGTCGTAACATCTATTCCTTGTTTGCATAAGAATAAGGTTCCGTGTCGAGAAAGAAGAACAAAAATGCAGATATCAAAAACGGCTCATTTCGAGAAAAAAATGGCAAACTACAGAAGGACTAGAGTTGCTTCCTAACACACTGGTAGTGGTGTCCTCTAAACTATATCAAACAGTGTAATCTATCAAATGTTAAAAAATAACAAGGTGGTAGTTTGACATAATTAACCTCGAGGAATGTATGATATAGCACAGTGAGTTGCAATGGAGCATCAGTGTCTCGGACCAAAAATGTTGGAATGTTGACAGTAAAAACTAAATCCAAATAGCCCTTTCATCATCATTACTTTTTACCAACTGTATGGAATAAACAAGCTCGTAAGTGCTGAAACAATTAGACACAAAAGGAAAGAAAAGAAAAAGAGGCTTCAGCACCAAAACAAGCAGACACAGTATGATCTTTTGAGTTATGTGGAAGTGTGCTTAATAACTAGTTCACCATTTGATGGATGGAAGGATGCTTCAATTTCTGATGAACAACATTCACCTCCATCAGATCTATGAGTTTTAACTGCCACCGGCTTGGCCAAAAGCTTCACTCCTTGTTTCCAGTATCTTTGATCTGAACACAATGCAGTTATATTTTAGTATGATGCATCGACCCAAAAAAAGTTGAACCCAAGCAAACTGTACCTGGTCCTGTTGATAACACAATGGAATTTTCTGCATCCATCACCCAATCAATCCAAAATGCAAATCCATGGCATACACCCTGGTTCGTAAATTCCACCTACAGTAAATATTCACTATAGGTTCATTATGTCTGACATCCCATGCAATGGTTATAAACATCAACACTCGTACAATACAGCAGTGCTGCTTCCACGCCCAAACCCCCCCCCCCCAAGAAAGTGCATGTGATACCTGGGCTTTTCCAGAACAAGAGCTTATTGGTTTCAAGAAATCAAACTCCATGACAGTAATTATCTCACTGAGTTCCTAAAAATTCAATAAAATTGCATCAACTTAGTGATGAAATGCTACTGTCCTCTTCCTCAAATAAAGTAGATCTTCCTAAACTTTATTTACCTTGATTTCTCCACATTGCCATATAAAAAAAGGAAGACAAGGACTCTCTTGTGTAGCGGGTGAATCACCACACGCCCCTAAGGTGGCATTGACAACTGAATGGTCAAAACCTTCAATCTCTTTCAGGCAGCAATGACTTCTCCAGAGATCCTAAACATGAAGTTTGCCATCCCATTCCAACATTTACGTCTATGAAAAATAATAACATACTTGGTTCAAAACAAACCAATGGTAAAACCACAGACTCACAGGGAGAGACATTGCACAAGCCTTCAGTATTCCTTTACAAGGCATTATCACCACGTCTTTAGATAGGACAGACTCGAGCATAGTGCGTTCCTTCCTGAACAACAATTCAAGATAAAAGAACAAAATATAGGTATATTGCCTAAACTGAAGTACCTGATACCTTTAATGGAAAATATATTAGCAGAACATCTAAGAGCTTTTTTCATATACAAGTTCCCCACACATATATGCAGATAACCTTTACAAAATCCATTCAACTACACTCGGGTGAGTTAACCATTTCAATAATCATCAATTTCCCCAACCCCTTCGTATACGAAATAGCAAATAGAAATTCCAATGAATTGCCATTGAATTGGACCATGAGTGCAGAATGCACAGAGATCTTATCCTCTTTCACCTCCTGCCAATGACTTAAGTATTATTAACATGTCGTTTCATCCAATCAAATTACTCCAAGTTACCATTACCGCCCGTGTAACTATTAATCTAAATTTTTTAAGAAATAGTTGGTTCAACCCTTAATTAATAGCTTTTCATAACAAAATAGGAGAGGATGGTGATAGAGATGATTTAATGGATGGTTTTCCGCAATATTAAAATTGGATAAGGTGGGATGGAGATTCTATGCATCACACAGAGCCAACGCTAGTTTTATATATAACAAACAGTCATGGTAATAAATAGATGTAAAATGATGCGTGAAGCAACGATCCACACAACATCTGGAAAAGTAATTAAGAAATTAGAAACATTAGGATCAGGTAAAAAAACTTGTTAGTAGGATCATGTAAAAAAGCTATCTGAAAAAAACTCCAAAATCCTCATTTATTGATACAAAACTACCTTATGGAATGGTGTTAACTTAATTGTCTGATGTTAATATATCCACAAATTTACCATGATGGGTGCTATTCTTACAAACTTGTCTTTTGATCCCGTTCAAGAAGCATACTATATTTCCATATCTGGGAATAAAAATTAAAGGCTTCAATCAAGACAGAGAGTATTACCAAAAACGCAGGTTTTGCCATGGAACCGCATCTTCACTTCCACAATAGAACGGTTCTCCAATCAAGAGATCAACCTGCAAATTATACACAAAATCCACTAGTTTTGTGTTTATTCTACAGCAGCTTGAAAAATATGAATTCATGAATATTTGATTTGCCAAGAAGGACAATCTTATGTACAACTAAATGCTTAGTGGCAAGCCGCAGTAAGTAGAATTCAGGCTGATAAACAAGCTGCTTGGGTGGAACTAACCTTTTTCTGATAAGTGTCGTGCATAGTCAATTGAGATACTCTCTTCTTTAGAACTTCTACTCGATCCATTGAGAAACCATTTGCAGCCGCAACAGCTTGTAAATATTGAGCACCCTTCTCTTTCAGCCCCGGAAACAAAGATATTATGTGTGATGTTTTGGAAAGATAGGCAATGGCAATCGGTAAGAAGACACTATCATCTGCAACAACACACAAAGAAGGACTCCGCTGCAACTGAAAAGGAAAACTAGTGATAATAATAAACTAAGAATCCTGACACCAGAATAAGCATAAAATCAGAAACAATAAAAGCATCTATCTTAAAAGAACTCAAGTACATACGTAAGACATCATTAGCTGAGATGGTTTTTATTTTCAACACATAAATATCCACCTCATTAGGCCCCTAAAGACTTGATGAAAATAAACAAGAAATGAAGCTTATATAGGAAAGTAGCCACAAAAATCATATTATTGTGGTTAGGATATTTAAAAATTTCGTCAATTTCAGTTTACTGAACCAGAAGATCATAACCATTGTGGGCTCTTAATATCTCAGGTATAATACAGGATATGATGATGATAATAAGAAACCAAAGAGAGAAATATTATATTAGAACTGATGTGCAGGGTGCTTTTCAGGCAAAAGGCTTGACATATATCAGTCATAATTCCAGCGTCACCAACAAAGAAACACCCAGCTCATCCCTGATAAAGGACAACCACTAAGTTAGACATCTCTGCTGGACTTTTGGCACATCTTACTCATTAAGCTTCATTTGTCCAGTAGATCTACACATATTCCTTCCATGGATAGACACTGGTCAAACAAAAAAGTGCTTTGAAGTGATCTGACTTCTCAAACCTTAAGGAGTCTCCTTCCAACATATAACCCTGCAGTTCACCGCAAATTGAACTGTGTACATGTAAAATTGAACTTGCAACAACAGGCTTCTGGCCACTTCATTCCTAGACTTCCTTGTGTCCACGAGGTACACTTTAAATGTAGTGGTTTCCAGGAGGACCATTAACTGATTACTTTCTATTAGTGAAGCCGCCAAACATTCCCCAATTTGTTTTCATATTCCAATATCGTCTCGAAGGAAGCAGGTTCAGCAATTAGTCATTCAGCAAGAAATA